CATATGTTACAAGCAAACCATTTTTATCACCTCTGGAGACCAGAGAGAATGCCAGGTTGTCTCAAATGTTACTGATTTTTTTTTAAGACTACCATGAACAGATCAGTATTGAGCAACCACAGATACCGAGCTATATTTTATTTAGTCTTTAGTAAATTCTGCATATATTAATATAATTTTAATAAAATCATTACTTTGTAGTACAAACTTATGAAATGTACCACACGGCTGTCTACTTCACATAACTTAAGTAAAATTCATAGGATGAAGCCTTTGGTGCATTTTGTTATGTAAATGTTACATAAACCTCTTATGTAAAGCCCATGAATGAAGTTTTGGTAGATTAGTGTAAACTTCAGATGGGGCAGGGAATCTCACTGCTGCCTATGTGTACAAAGCTGGGGGGTGAATTCCAAGGGTGAACAAGAGTGGAGCTTTCTTCATGTCATCCTCAGTCGCTGCCAGCAAGCTCCTTGTCACCACTATTGGTGCTGCCAACCCTGCAGATCTCTGAGCTCCTCAGGAGTCCAATTTGTGCAAGTGCTGCCTATGAAGCTGCTGCTTCATGTTGTGGTAGCAACATCCAAGGGCCTGCAAACCCTCCTGCTGAGTTGTGCAGCATCACCACAAAGGATTAATTATATTTTAAAGTCTATTTAAAAATCCAAGTTATGGAAATTCCATATTTTGTTCCAAAAAAAAATCTCTGCAGAAGATGACTTAAAGCTTGATAAATTGGTAAGAAGGAGTAAATAATTAAGGAAAGTTTAACAGTAGGATGCTGCATTAAGATTTGAGCAAAAGGTTTCCTGAAAATTAGTGAATTCAGATTTTTGTTCCCCTCTGATCTTTTTCTGGTCACCTTTGTCCATTTTACTAGGAGTTTCTTTTCTGCCTGATGTAGACAGAGCAGCTGCAGTTGCACTCTTGGTCACCCTTTTGACCCATAGCCTATTGAAGAAAAAAAAACAAACCCAAAAAACCCAACAGACATCTTGCAAAGCAAATTATCTAATACCAAGTAACACGACAGAAAAAGCAGAAGCACAGGGAAGGAAAGAGAAAAGCCAAATCAGAGGGGAAAGAAAGGTCCAGGGACTCAAGGACCAAGACACCTGCCTGAAACATTGAGGAAGGTGCTAGAGTAAAGGATTGAATGATTCCTTCAAGAGATCCTATGGGACAGCAAAGCAGCAAGAAACTGTCAGGAGGGTTCTGGCAGCCTGGCTTGGTGGGGAAAAACCATTTCAGATCAATTAAAACCTTTATCTAACTGGGTAAGTGGCCAAGAGAGGATCCATGGTTGTGCCATATGATGAAGTCGATAATGCTTTCAGCAGAAATATGAAGTGCCCTCACATGTGAAGGGCTTTAAAATAAGTAGAAAAAGCACTGGCTATCAGCAGCTTCTGGCCAAACTGGTGAGATTTTCAAGTGGAGCTACACAAATCTGTCCTATACCAGTTTCTCCGAAATTTGGGGTCAGAAAAAGAACAGAGGATGTGAGCTATCAAACCATGGACTACATGGAAAGGGACCATGAGCACTTTCATTGTGGTCAGAAATTGTGAAAACCAATTAGGAACCAAAGCACTGAAATCAATTCAACACAGGTGCAAAACACTCGATGTGGTCAGGCAGCAGTGTAGCAGGCAGGCAACCACCCCACAGAAAAGGTTGAGGATTCTAGTGGGAAGCCAAGAAGTTGACACCAGAGACAGGAGAAATCAAGAAGAAGGAATATCTCATTTGGGGGGTGATCTTTGTTACAGCACTGTGTGTGAAGCTCCTAGGATAACTCCTCTCTCAGCTATTCAGCTGTCAGTCAGTGGGGCTTGGCAACACTGTTTGAGCCTGTTGCACCAACAAAAATATGCTCAGGACAATCACAACCCTGATGGAAAGTACAGCCTGTGGAAATAAGGAAATAGATTTTTTTTTCTCCCAAAAAAGAGAGAAAACACACAGTTATGATGTTCTAATACGCAAAAGAAATGAAAGGCAATGACCTACATCCTTCCATTCTCCTTGAGGGTAAGACAAATTGCAGTAAGTTTAGTAGCAGATTTGTTGGATACTTAAAAAAGCTTTCAGGATAATGAAGCAATGCAACATTTCCTGTGTGTTTTAACCAACACTCAAGACCAACATGTAAAAGTAGCTGTACATTATACATAATCACAGAAGGGTTTGAGTTTAAAAGGACGTTCAAGATCAAAAACTTCCAACTCCCCTGCCATAGGTAGGGACACTTTCCACTAGACCAGTCTGCTCAGGGCTCCATCCGACCTGGCCTTGAACACATCCAAGGATGGAGCATCCACAGCTTCTCTGGACAACTTATTCCAGTGCCTCACCACACTCACAGTAAAGAATTTCTTCTTAATATCTAATCTAAACCTGCTCTCTTTGCAGTCATGTTATGTAGAGAGAGGAAATTCAATAGATGATGTTTAAGGACCTTTCCAGGCTGAATCAGAATCAGCAGCCAGCAAATGGAAAACAAATTGCAGACAGGAAAGAAAAACCTTCTCTTTTGGGGTCCTGTGATTTGATTTTAGAACTGATCTTACTACTGGGAAATCTCTTTAGATGTGCTTCCTACAATAAAGAGAAAGTGTGAGGTGGAGTCTTTCTCTCTCACCAACTTGTTAAGCTGCAGGCAGCACGGGCTGATCCCTCCGTGGCTCAGGCAGGGATCTGCCTGGAGTCTGGAGCTGCAGTGAGTGGCTTTCATAGAAACCAGGCAGAGGGACCAATTAAATAACCTCTTTCAGTGGTAACTGAAGCAGCAGGAAAACATTGTCAAAACCAAGTCCCTCTTGGGTCAGAGCCCTAAGCCACGTGGGAGAACAGATTGTTCTGATGGCTGATTCCGAATGCTGTAGCTGGATCTGTTTGAGCCACATGTCCATGTGTCTCTCTCTGAGATTTGCAGAAAACAAAGAGAAACACCAGCATATCAGTGCAGGGCTGAATAACTGTGTTTTTTCTGCTTTGTTACTCATTGCAAAACTGGGCTGGGATTTTCTAGCCAGCCACTTGTCCCCAGGACAGCACCTCTTATACTGCCCAGGATGGGCACCAGCCTGTGCTCCCAGAGACCCCTATGGAGCCAGTGCTGCTGCTGGGGGGAACTCTTTCTAATGCTTGCCTCAGTTTATTTAATTGCCTTCCTTGAAACTGAATACTCCCATATTGGATGCACATGGCCTATTTTTCCCCTTTCAGAGTTAAAAGAGATCAGGTTGTAGGATTGCAACCTCAGAGCAGTTTCCCACCAACATCCCTCAAACAAAATCCTTTTACCTCTCTCTAGAATTTGTTTCTGTGGGTTCCTCAACCAGCTCGTCCTAGAAGCAGGGATTTATTGCAACCAGAAATTCTGTTTCTGCACCTCATCCTGGTGAGGCACTGATCCAGCCAGTATGCAGGCTCCCACTAATGTCACATCCCACATTCACTGCTCCTCTGGCCTCACTGACCACTCTCACAGAACCCAAAAAGGATAGTACAGTCTTACTACAGCATTTTTATCAGTAGCAACTGGGATTTCCACCCACAGGTTTTTAGGGTGCTTCTCTTTTCCTGTAATATTTTTATGCTGTAGCATATTTATCCTTCACATACAGCATCACTCCTCCACCTCTAGATCCTACTCAGTCATTCCTGTGAGGCTGGAACTGCTGTATCTCATTTGTTTTCTAGCCTCCACTAAGTCTCTGGGACACCTTCTGTCTCAGAGTAGTCATTTGGTCCAGGCATTTGAGTTTTGGCTTGATTTTGAAGTCTCTAGCAACTGTACAAAAACACTTGTAAGTTTGTCTTTGCTTTATTGCTTAATACTGCATGTGCCAAATCCTTGCCACTGTATTCTGTCTGTTTTGTCTTTCTCGTGCATTGTGATCATGCTGTTTATTTCCCTCATGGTTTTATTTTTTTAGAGGTAAACTGAACGTCAGCCTTGTCCACCCTGCACATCACATGAGTTCAAACTGGATACTCCTCTGTATTTCCCAGCTCTACCCTGCTTCTAGTGGAAATGCTCCTCTAAAAGCTCTTCAATTTCCAGTGACACAGGTTGTCTATGCTACAGCTCAGGTGCAGCCTGCCCTTTCTACGCTGCACCTCTCATTCATGTTTTGCCAGTTCCTCAAGCCTCAAGCATCTACAAATCCCTACATTTCCCCATAAGGCCATCCTGCAGCCTCGGGACATGGAGGCTTCTCCCAGCATCCAGAGCACCTTGCCTTCCTAACACGGGCTGGGTAACCTTCCACAGCTTACAAGGCTTGATTGCCTTGGGAAACTTGTGTCAGCCTAGTTTCTCCCCTGAAAGCATAACTAGGATCACTCATTTCTTACCTACCCCTTATTAAGCTAATTAGCAATTAGGAGAAATGTTCAAGAGCATGAAAAAACCCACACAGTGGGGATATGGCTGAGACTATACTGCTGCAACCCTCAGTCTTCCACAAACACTCAATTTCCAGGAATTGGAAAGGTTTCTTGTTCCAAAGCAGGGAAGGAGAAATTTGACTAATTTCTGTCCTTTAAATCAGGTTTTATTTTATGAATTCCCTGCTTATTTAGCCACCCCTTAGCTGATTCAGATCAAGAAACTACCAAAGTTTTCAAAGGAGTTTGGGTGTGTGCACGGTTGCAGAAACCAGGATTATAGATTCCTGTCATAATAATAAAAATCCTGGCAGTATATTTTTTGTACTTTTCCTCTAGAAATGAAGACAAACTCTAAAAAGGGCACAGCTGCATGCCTGAGCCATAAATGCCATAGAGAGGACCAGATTATCCCACAGATGTTTGCCCTGAACCATCTAAGTGCCAGAGGCAATTCTTCCTTCCTGCCAGACACAGGAGAGAAGAGTGAAGAATAGCTGGTACTAAATTTAGTCCAGGCCAGCAGTCTGGCTTCTGGCTAAATCAAATTGTCCCTCCCCTGTGCCTGTTGTGATCAATGAAGAGCTGCTTGCTAATCGATCATGGATACTAATATTGAATGGATCATTGTGGCCCTTGCTATATGTGCTGTAGGTGGGTGTCCTACACTTACCACATGCACAAAATGTCTCAGTTGCAGGGCTGTCAGGTTGTTCTGTATGGAGCTGAAGAGCTATCTGAGTATAAATAAAGTCCCAGGGAATTCAAGTGAAACTGTCGAGGTGTGGCAGAGGAGGTTTGTATAGAGAATATGGGCAGGTAATAAAGTTGTTCATGGTGGGAGTGCCTCAATTACTGTGGTGCAGAAGAAGCAAACTAGTACATCCTTTATTTCTACCCCAGAAATAAGGGAATAGTAGCACAGACCATTTGGAGATTAATGGTTTGTGAATCACCTTTGGTGGTATTTTGAATTTTTTAAATGCCGCTTGTTTTGAGCCACATCTGTTCTATTCTCCTTCCTGCCAGATGTGCTTTCTTCTGTTTCGACCTTCTTTACACTCACTCAATTGTGAACACGAAGAGCCCCATGCATGAGCTGCTGGTTCTCTATGGGAGGTAGCAATAGTACAGCAAAAACTTACAGAATCTCTCAGTACAATGACATTGACAAATTTCCCGGCTAAAAATGTAAAAGAGCTGCTGAAAGAGCAAAACAGCATTTCACACCCACAAAACCTACCGTGTGGGAGAAGCGGGTCAGGAGGGATTGTGCCGCGGGACTTGTGCCATCCAGTGGCTGTTCTCTTTACTGCTGCACAGCTACAGTAGCTTTGAAATCCACACTGCCTGCTGGTTTGGGGTTGTAGACCTTTGTTGTCTCTGTGCAAGAGGAGATAACAACAGGGGCCTGGCGTAGTCTCTGCATATCCGAATTCTCAGCAGTTGCAGCTCTGGTCATGTTATTGTTCCTGGATCTTTGCCTGCAGAAATTAGATTAAATCCAGAAGAGCATTTTCCCATTTTCAGTATGTTATTGCTTCCAAGAACTGAAGGGGAGCAGTCGTTTTCAGACAAGGTTCCTCCTAGCTCCAAACGGTTAGCAATGGGACTTTAAATTAAAAGCTATTTCATTTTTTTAATTCTAATTGTGTTTTTTGCTGTATAACAGAATCCCTGTCGTGTTTGGGAGGATGCACAAGTTGTTAGGTGTTTCTGTTTCTTGTCAGACTAGTGGGGGTGGGAAGTGCATTGAGCCAGCTGTTCCAGAACACTGCCAGCAGATAGAAAGCCCATTTGTCTCCAGGAAATGTTGAGAATGTGGGGAGACATCCTGCAGCAAACATATTAGGTCTGTGATCTTTGTCTAATAGTCTTGTAAATGGTTCACTATACCAAAGTCTGTTTTCCATGAGGTGTTAGCATTGTTCCTCTCAGCTGATGTTTGTGTGTTTTCCCTCCTGCAATGGTGTGTTAAGACAACCGACAAAAACAGATAAATTGCAAGTCAAACAATCTGCAAGTCAGAGAAATTGTAATGGGTGTAACTGAAGGATGTTTCTGTTTGATTTTCTTGTAGCTATGGAAAAGCAAGCTGGAGCCAGTAAATAATGTAGGATTTCAATTGATTCTCATCTTTTTTTCTTTACTTCCTTTTTTTCTTTTTTTTTTTTTTTTTTTAATAGAAAACATTTCTTTTTGAGCTGCCTTCCTCCACAAGCTATGCAGGCAGCCCAAGGCACAAGCTCAGACTAAGTTTTAGGTAATTAGGGGAGATGAACTGGACACAAAGCACCAGTTCACCTCACAAGGTACACGTGAGCTAGCATGACCAAGAGGTAATCCCCTCCAGAGCAGGCTACACATACCATGGCTGCATCTGCTAGCACAAACACCTGCACTAGTATCAAAAGGATGCCATGGGTTTCAGTCATGGATCTGAAAGCACTTTAACAGCATGAGTCACACATTGCACTGGCCTGACATCTGGTTGTAAATAACTGCTCTGTGCTGGTTTCAGCTGAAACCAGCACGTGCTCTTATGCTGTTCAGAGCGTTATGGGAATACACTGAATGTTGACACAACTGGAGCTTTGGAGGCAACTGTGAAACCAGATGGTCTGAGCTGTGGAGGTAGGCTCTAATTCAGTTGTTCATTCCCCCCTTACACCCATGCACAAGTTCATGCCTATTATGGATCCTGGTCTCTGACTGTCAGTCATTGCCAAGCAAGCAGATTTTTTCACAATCAACAAAGATCCTACTTGGGCACATAAGTTTATGCTGGGAATAGAGTTGCCTTTGAGATGACATTTAAGACCATCACAGAAAAAATGAAAGTCTGCTGGGTCCCTGAACCTACTTTTCTCTCTCTGTTGAGAGTTTCCCTCAAAACCTGAACTTCTGAACATTTCTCCACTATAGCTCTAAATTAAAAGGGACTAAATCTGGGACTAATCCACACAAAGGCTTAGATTTAAAACAAGACTCACCTCACTCTCAACCTGCATACTAGAGAAGTGCCCTCTGAATCTGAAGAAAAAAGTCATTCATATCATCTGTGTATTGATTTCTAAGGCACCCTTCACTAAAATTAGTCAATTCTATCTTTGTTTCACTCTAAACAGATTCAGAAGGATTCAAAATGTCAGCTCAGCCATAATGACCTTTAGAAAAACTGGGTTTGGATTCTAAAAATGAAAGACAAAGTCATGCAAGTCACGTTGTAGGAGTTCCTGTCTCAGAGAAGACAGCAGAAGAAGATGGAGAAATACCATGCCAAGACAGCAAAAGCTGGCAATAATAAGGGTGTTGCTCCAGCTGTGACTGATTGCTGGTATTACCTTTCAAGAGTCAAATGCTGGGATAGTGCTGAAGGATGGCCTGGGTGACCATGGGAATCCATTTGGCCTAATACAGATATGGTCAACCTTCTTAAAAACACAAATCTCATCCTCCCTTTGAAGCAGAGTCAGAAGAGTGGCAGAGGCCCTGTTGAAAGGCAACCCCCTAAACCTTTTCTGCCAGCATTTTGGCCAGGTTAAGGCTAATGCCAACCAGACTAAGGCCAATGCTGACCAGGCTGTCAGCTCCCAGAACCAGGGAAGGACCCCAGTGAGTATCAGTGCATGAGCAGACTGCTTTTACACTGTGAAACTGATGATTGCTTCCCAGCATGCCCTTGGGATTGAAGAGATTAATTGTTCCTATTTCACATTTAGATAATAAGCCTTGTTTCAAAAAGCACCTTTTTAAACTGAGCACGCTGTAGGCTGCAGCTACATACCATCAGGTTAATTACACTTTATGCTCCGCAGGGGCCTGGCCAGTGGGGGATCTCACTTCATTATTCATGCCTACATTTGTGCCTAACTTGTTTGGCAAGTTGTATCCTTATCTGTAAAATCCCTAAGCATTTGCTGCATGCATGGGGTCTGCTTTTGTAACAACCCCAGCCCCCTGAGACTTGTGCTTTACTACCTCATGGATTAAGGGGAGATCCCTATAGGAAATGGATTTTCCCACCTTTAATTCAGATGGGGAGGAGAGAGGCAGTCACTTTGCACCTGGAAACACTGTGAAGCAGCAGTAATCCTGCTTTCTGCATACTGTCACCTATACAACAGCAGCTGTGCCTTTTTTTAAGGCTCTGACAAACAAGAAAATAGGGCTGGCATTCCTCTTCAGTGCCCAAATGTCTGCCCTTTGCACATCTGCTGGCTTTGCCTGCGCCCTGAGAAGTGCTTGTGTCCTCTCCATACAGTCACAAAAGAGTTAAATCCTGAGATTAGGGACCAAAATGAAGCAACAAAGAGCTCTGGATAAATAGTGGATAGTTCTGGTGTGGTGAGGTTGCTGTCTCACTTTCAGGCTAGCAAAGAGTACCATAAGATTGGCGAGCCATGGGACACTGAAGATCACTTAGCACAAAACACAGAGATTTTATACAGGATGATAAATACAGAAAAAATTCCCATGTGGGACAAAGGAGTGGCACCCCAGAGGCTGAGTTTTGTCAGCTTTGAAATAAAGTCAAGCACGATAATGCTGCAAGCACTGCAAAAGGCTAAACACATCCCAGGGCCTAGGTTCATGTGGAATAATATTCCCTAGTATGCACTAAAAGGAATAGAGGAATAAAATTAGCCTTCCAGCAGGATTTTTTCGAAATCTGGCAAATACCATGACATTTTTCAGTTGCAAGGAGTAAGGGTGGGCTCTTCTCTCTCCTCTCTCTCCATTCCATTTGTTTTGTGGTTCTATACACACCTACAAAAAACAACTTATCCTGCTTGTCTAACCTGGCAACTCTGAACTATTATTTACTGATGAAGTAGCACCTCTGTTTATGTGTTTCTTTCACCGTCATTCCAGGTGGGATCTCAGCTTATAATGCAGGAGTTAGCACTGTCCAGACATACAACAAAATGGTAGTTGGCAAAACACACAACTATGCCAATGATGTGGATGCAAGAACCAGGTTCTGTAAGAGAAATGGATATTGAGATCTCTGAGTAATGGTTAGATTTGAGGCTCTGATTCCATACTTTGCTTCTAATTAAAAACATTCTGAATTTCTCTCCCCAGAAACTGTAAGAATGGGAGAGGACAATGGAGCCAGGAAAAAATACAAGCTTGCAATGGGTTTTTTTTTTTTCAGCTAAGGCTAAAAAAATAATTTAAAAGATAACACAGCTAATAGTTCAAACTGTAACTTACCTTTTGCCGTTTATTTTTCATCTCACTTCATGAGAATATTGAGAGTTTTCATGTGTGCCTGCAGTTTCTCAAGCAGCAGATTAATGCTGCAAGAAAGTCGTGGTTACTGCACTAAAAAGAGAGAGAAAGGACAGCAACACACACGGACCTCTTTAGGGAAAAAAGGCCAACTTTATTGTACAGACAGCCCGTATTTAAAGTGTGTTAAGTGCAGCTAGGACAGGACAGTAGCTCATTGGACAATTGGGAAAAACATCCATGGGACAGCACCTCAAGATGTATCCCACGGGAAAGACACCAGGTGTTAATCTTTATTATGAATTCCACTCTGTTTTTCACCATATTATCACCTTGGGAGACTTCCTCCCTAACTGAAGCTGTAGTCAGCTTATCAGCCTGGGAATGGACCTGAGAGTCAGGAGAAATCCAGGCCTGAAAAAGAATTTCCAAGCTGTAATTCCCTAGCTCTCTAAATGTGTGTGTCCAGACTACTTAAAAAGATTTTATCCACCTTACGTTTTATCTGTCACTACACGTGTCCAACAGCAGCACAAAACAGCAGCGCTGGCTGTTGAGAGAGGCTGAGCTTTCCTTGTCACAGCCTTTCAAGATCCAACTGGACAAAGCACTCAGCAACCTCATCTGACCTCAGTGCTGGCCCTGTGTTGAGCAGGAGGTTGGACTAGAGATCAAAAACGTATCTTCCAACCTGAATATTGCAATCATCTTAAGTCAGTCTGTTTGTTCCCAACATAAAAAGGCAGTATCTCTTATCTGTGCTTCATAAAGATCTACATGGAACATCACAAAGCTCCATTACTGAAAGGGTGTGGACACACACTGTGTGCACCAGCTGGTTCAGGTTTTAGGGTTAAGAGCAAATCTTTAGAGAATGTATACTCATACAGAGAGGGGCTGGGAGAGCAGACTGACTGTACTAGAGAGGGAGCCCTTGGGGGAAATACCATTTCAGAAACACCCAAATGTACACATATATTAAAAATTTTTAAAAATACTATTTTATTTTTCATTGGAACTGTCAGCTTGTCAATTAAGCATCTCTGTAAACATCTCTTGTAGCTGAATCTCAGAAATAATAGGTACTATGTATTTTCCCTTCTCTCTTTGTGGGAGCCTGCTATTAGCTCTGCTTTAGCTTCGATAGTTTATCAGACACTTTTTAAGCTGTGAATGGTACCAAGCCTTTTCATTAACACAGTCCCTCCGTGATACCTTGCAGCACTCCTGTAGGCTGCAGCGTCAGAGATCCATACTCATATCCATAGACAGAGCCCTCTGCTGGAAGCTCCCCGGGCTGAAGTGCCACGGACACGAATCCCAAACCTGCCCAGCAAGGCTGAGCCACAGCCTGGCTCTGGTGCTCTGGGACACCGATCGAGGCACAAGTCTTATTATTTGCTATCCACCAGCAGCAAGATCCATTTGACTAATTTCTTGTGTCCTAGTACTTGCACCATCTCTTTAAGGAATGTCCTGTGCCTTGGATACACTGCAGGACCTTTAAAAGGGCTCAAATTCCAGCTTGTACCTCCCTGTGGAAATACAATCAACCCCTCGAAGAGACTGCAATTTTAACACACAGCACAAGATGCTGTGCAGATGCTGGAAGAAAAGATGGAGGTGAGAAAAGCACCATTAAATTATCTGCTTTACTTTTCCCATGCTATTTCATTTCAGCTCAAATTCTCGTTTCTGCCTTCAGCCTGGCCATAAGGGATCATTACACTCCTCAACGCCACTACCACGGCCTATCCTTCTCCCTCTGCACAGTGCCTCCAGCTTTTGTCCCTATACTGATATATCGTGGAGGCCTATGGGCCTGCCACGGCTCCGCCCACAGCCTTGCCCTGGAGGGATGTCCCTTGAATGAGATGTCACTTGCATGGGCTGTGATTAGCTTATCTCAACCTTCCCGGAAGGATGCTCATTAGGCTGGAACACCTTTTGGTATCATGGTGAGCCATCCCCGAAAAGCTTCAGTGATCCCACCATGCCCTAGTACCCATATTAATCCTTTGTAACCCATTGGTCTTTCTCCCTTGGTACCACTCTTGCACTCCCACATAAAAATCCCGGGTTTTCCCCCAGTTCTTGAGGGAGCTGTCATTCCTGGATCCCTTCACAGAGCTGCTGGATAATAAAGCAATCTCTGTGGAATTTGCCATATAATGCTTCCCGTCTCTCTGTCCCCGAGTTGGCCTGGGATAGCCTCGCAAGCAGAGCTGAAATCACTGAGCTAATATCACCGATCAGAGCTGATCACTTGTGGCCACAGGCCACGCTTGCTGAGGCTTATCCAGCAGCTAGGAGAGCTGCCAGAAGAGCCCCTAGAAGGCAGTCCCTTGTGGGACTCTCTCTCTGGGAAGGTTGGCGGCTTCCCAGGACTGGAGCCTCAGATTTCCACAGACCCTCTAGCAGCTTTCAATATATCTCTTCCTTTGAACTCCTACAGGTGTTTACTCTTCTCTGTAAGCAGGTAGAAGGGATAAACACTAATTTTCAGCGACTGCATCCCTCTGATTTTCTCACAACATGCAGTCATTATGATTAACTCCTCTTCAGTGTGTCTAATGTGGGAGAGGCTCACAGCATGTTAAATTACAGAATTTATCTTGGCTGGAATGCAAACTACTTTATCATTTGATACAGCAGCAGCTTGCTAACCTCGGCCACAGTTCTTAAAACTGTAAATAGAACTATGCATACAGTAGTATTTTATAAGCTTGCAGCCCATAATTCTAACTCACATCACAGGTTTCCTTCAGGGTCTCTACATTTCTAACGTCTGCCATTTTAGAAAAGGAAGAGCATTAACCTTCACGTACACTGCAGCTCTTAGGCTATTCTTATTGAACACTTAGGGTCAGGGCATACATACGAAGCAAACAGCTTTCCTGAAAGACAAATGGGACAACTAACCAAGGTGTGAGTAACTCCTGTTACTCCCAAATGGAGAGTTCACATGCTTTTTAAGCTACAGAAGCCAGATGATAGACTGTTTGCTAGGGAACAAGCATGAGATCTGGATTACCATGGTAAGTCACTCTCTGTGGACAGCCAGTCAATTCTCATGTGAATACTAAACAGAGGGGTCTTCAATTCCAATTCCCTCCTTTGTGCAGTGAAAGTTTGGCAGTATTTCTGTAAATCTTTACTGTTAGCTGTGAAATGTCCTTACCATCATTAGCTAGATCTATTCTAGTAAATTCTCTGCTTATATGACTTTATTTACAAAGTTCTCTTACAGTTAGCTAAAAACTGCAGCAATCTAGCCACAAAATTAAAACACAAAGACAGAGAGACTATAATTCATTTAATATTTCAGGTGACTATTAACAACGTTGAATTTCACGTTTATACACCTGCAATCCTTCTTTAAACATCAGTATCACCTTTGCCATTCATACCAGAGTAAGAATTTTTACATTTCATACACAAACTTTTAACTGGGGATTTAAAGCATTTATTTTATAAAATCTAAATCCAACCAGAACACCTTATGACTTAATTTGTTTCTGCTCTACAGGTTTCAGGCGCTTCTTAATAATAAGCTCTCCTCTGGTTGTCAGAAAGGTGCTGGACACTTCCTCTTCTGTTGGCAGCCCATGGGGTAGTTTCAGTGGCTGTATTCTACAGGCAAAAGAGTTTGTTTAATGAAGTCCTGTGACTAGAAGGGAGTTACATAAATGTTACAAATGAACAAATAAATAAACAAATAATTAACAAACCTTATCAGATGTTTAACAACTTTCAGTCTGGAATTCACAGAAGGGATATTTTTGTGCAGTCTTGGCTGATGTGCCTACATAAGGGATAAAACAAGTTTTATAAATGTGTTGCCAAATCCCAAATCTTTTCTCACTGAACTTCGGACACTACCAGTAAAAAAATAAATCACAGTTGCAAATGTAAGATTTAGAGAAGCGCCATGCATCAAGAACATACATGAAAGTATGCAATCAAAACTTGATTCAAGTAAAAAGACAATTTCAGCTTTATTCCTATTTCACTATAAATCTATTTTTCTTCCAACTGTTAAAAATACTATAAATGTAAATACAAAAGTTTAGGGGCAAAACTACTTTCCTCATTTATATCCTAAATCGAACAACACATTTTTTTCTCTATAATGAAACAGTGACTAGACAAATCTTTGCACAATGTGCAGTTGGCCTAAAAAACCCGGATAAACACATCTTTGACACAAACTTTTAGAGTCTTGAATTTGGAAGCCTGTTCATTGATAAACGAGTTTTATTTGCCTTCCTGCAATTTCTGAATAATATGAACCACAGAGACCTGAATTCAAAGTATTTACAAACTTATTTCTATTATTTTAGAGGAATTCTCAGGGTAAAGTTCTCCTCAGGCAATACAGCACAATACCATAGAGAGATATTCTGGATTTCCACTAAAAGCACATTTGTCACAAACATTCCCCTCAACTCTTAAACACATCATCATCTTCTCAGATTGTTTTATGTCTGCTATAAATGTTATTCTGGTTTGTGACAGGAAAATGGATGCCCTTATAAAAACCCACTACCTTAATGCTACATTTCTGACATACACAAGTATAAAAAACAGCAATCATACTTTATCCAGTCCCAGATCACGTATTATCTTCTTTTCCCAATATGGGCGACCAATGACACTTTTTATTCTAGTAACAACGTGGATTTTGTGGGGCTCTTCAGGGTTACCTCCATACTTTTCATGATCTTCAGGCCTTGGCTGAAATACCTAGAATACACAAAACAACAGGTTTTTTCCCTAAATATCTGGTCATCAGTACTGCAACTAACTACTGTCTAAAACATACTTCAACCTTGGTAAAAATTCTTACATATTTTTCTCTTCAGGCAGTCAAAGCAGCAACAAAGTGACCTCAAATTTAGCTTTTATAACATGAAGTCAAACATATTTCTATAATGGTCTGCTGATAAATATAGTAACTCTTGAATTTAGCCACACAACGGCACAGAAATACATGCATAACATCCTGTACCAGCACCTAATTCATGTGCATTTTATCAGGGAGCCTGTGCTCAGCCTCTGGATAGCAAGTTTCTCCATTGGCTTTCAGAATGCTTTTAGGGAAAAGAGTCAACTGACACTAGACGGTATCTTGTAAAAATAAACCAAAACTATAAATGTAAAATTGTGAAGTGCAAGTCAAGCACATACCGAGTCTGGAATTCTCGACCTGGTAAAGAGACAACGAACCCCGACCAGGGACGCCATCTCCTCCATCCTCTTCCCCAGCACCTGCAAAGAGAGGAGGGCATAACTTGTCTGCACTTTCCTTATAGCTCTGAATACTTGCGAACAGATGACACAGCGACGAGCCTCAGCCCCACCTGGATCTCCACCTTCCCAGCGGCAGTGGAGCCCCGAACAGGATTCCCAACTGGATCAACCCCCATGATCCCACTTGGATCCCTTTCCCGGAACCCCATCTGGATCCCTACTTCCTCGGAGGCTGCAAGCCTCAGCCCCATCCCAGATCTCTCCACGGATCCCCACCTGGGTTCCCTCTCCCCCCGTTCCCCCCACCGGGTTCCCCCATACACCCGGTCCCCATTCCAGATCCTCACCTTCCCGGTGCCTGCGAGCCCCAGGCCCGCCCGGCCCGCCGCGGCCGCCATCTCGGTGTGCACCCTTCGTCCCGGCCGGACACTGGTGCCGCGGAACTTCAGTTCCGAGCGGGCGGAAGGACAACGGTGCGACACCTCCCCTCCGCTCCCCGGCCCGTCCCGCTCCCGTCGCCATCCCGGTCCGTGTTGCCGTTCCTGTCCATGTCGCGGGCGGGGAGCGATGGCACTGCCGCGCTGGAGCGGGCCGGGGCGGAGACGGTGAAGCGGGCGGTGCAGCTGGACGTGGCGTCCCGGTTCCAGGAGTCGCTGGTGTGTTACCAGGAGGGCATCGACCTCCTGCTCCAGGTGGTGAAAGGTACCGGGCTGGGCATCGCCGTCGGGGCTCGGGGTGGCCCTGGGGACACACGAGCGGTGTTGGACCCTGGCGTCCCACGGGGAGGGAGGGGGAGCTGGCGGTCTCGTCCCGGGAGAACTGGGACAAGCGAGTGTTTAACTGGAGAGCTGGGACAAGCGAGTGTTTAACTGGCCCGTGACTTTTTGTGATTCACAGCCACGACAGATGAGGCGAAAAAGCACCGCTACCGGCAGAAGATATCCGAGTACATGACCAGAGCCGAGGACATTAAAAAACACATTGAGAAAGAGAAACAAGGTATAAACACCTAAATGGGCAGTACCAAGGGGAGGGAGTCAGGCCCTTCCCGGTGCCAATCACCATGACACAAGGCAAGGTGCAGAAACTGATGCACAGGAAGTTCTGGTTGAAAATGAGGAAGAACTTTGTCCCTGTGCGAGTGACTGAGCACTGGGACAGGTTGCCATGAGAGGGTGTGGAGTGTCCCTCGCTGGAGATTCTCAAGAACTGCCTGGACACGATCCTGTCCATGTGCTCTGGGATGACCCTGCTTGAGCAGGGAGGATGGACCAGATATCCCACTGTGATCTCTTCCAACCTGACCCGTTCTGTGATTCCATGAGCTGTTATGTACCCAACGTACCCGTTTGCTTTTAATTGTCTATTGTTATGTGAATGATTGATGAATGAGGTGGTTTAACACGGAAATTACGTCCTGACCTTTAGTTAAAAAGAGATTTACTTTCCTTTCAGATGGCAAATACCATAAGCAAATCAGGATAGAAGAAAATGCAACAGGTTTTGGCTATGAAAAGCTTTTCCATGAGTACCTCACTGAGATTGTTTCTGAAGTTTGGGTGGAGGACCCTTACATTAGACAGGTTCATCAGGCAAGTAGATATTTGGTGTAACTGATACAGATGTAGCCACTAGAGAAATTCCAAGCTAATAAATTAAATAAAACTTTTTCAGCTATATAACTTTCTACGATTCTGCGAGATGCTAATTAAGGGGCCGTGCAAGGTGAAAACAATCCACCTCCTCACTTCCTATGATGAGGTAAGTGTCTAGATTTTGGGTTCTATTTCCCTGTACTCAGATGATGCCACATGCAAACCAAAATATAAAAATACAGACTTGTTCCAGGATTTGATATATTCAAACTATTATGCTTTCAGCAGGAAACACAGATTAAGAGAAAAATAAAGTTCAGAGTTTTCTGGTTAACAAATTCTGGGTAAGCAGAATCTTAAACTGAAATTTCTGCAAAAGTTTTGTTGTGGAGAATGTCATAAAAACCAAAGCATCTGTTAAGACAAGGGTTTTTTTACTCTTCAACAGCTGTACTTGTCATTTTAGAGGCTTTCATGGGCTGGAGTCTCTCAAACTACCATTGCACTTATTTAAACCATTACTGCACTTACTTTGGCTCAAATACCACATACCTAGTTTCAAAGAGATGAGAGTGAGCACTTTCTCCACATCCCTCGGTGAATATACCTGTAGTTTGTCTGCTTTTTATCCTGTCTTTGAAACTGTAAATCTGCCTTCATCCAAGTTACTTTCTTTTAGTTTACTTTGAGACTGAATAGGTTTTGTCTGTGAGTTTTAAGAAGTGGTGACCAGAAGCAGACTATACAGTTTAAAAAAATCACGTTATTTTTACTTTTTATAGGGTATTGGGAGGAGTCAACAGATGACTGCCTTGGAAGAAATAAAACAGTCATTGAGTAATTATGGAGTAACACTGAATATTGACTTTTCATCTTCAATACACGATCGAGAAATCAGGTGGGTGATACAAAAAATGACCAAATGCCAGTTATTTGAAGCCAAACTATTTAACCCTAACTTTGGTGATAATTACAGCTGTGGTTAATAAAGTAAAAGGCAGTGGCACTCACTGGATGTAATAACCCCTCTGTAGTTTCATATTTTATAATTATAAATATAATACTAGTTGTCTCTATACAGAATGGTGTCTTCTGTGGTTCACACAAGTATTGGTGATGCTAGGAAATAACTGATTGAAACAAGGAGCTTGTGCATCATATGGGTGTAATGTTTTTATTCAACATACTCACAGTATTCAAATTTATGCATTTTTAAAACAGATTCAACAATGGGTGGATGATTAAGATTGGAAGGGGTCTTGATTATTTTAAGAAACCACAGGTAAGGATGCTTTGACTTCTTTAATTAACTTAAAATGAGCTCTTCTACAGTATATGCTCACCATGTCAATTCTGTTAATTTCTCCAGGGTCGTTTCAGCATTGGATACTGTGACTTTGACTTGAGACCTTGTCACGAAACAACAGTGGATATCTTTCATACTAAACACACCAAAAAAATGTGATCAGAAATGACTGTTTTTAGTAAGTGTTTTCATAAGCATAAAAATGAAAGACTGAAGATTTCTTGAGTCCAGCTGGTTGGCCACAGAAGGAACTCTTCTAAGTTCTTAGTGCAGTACAGCTTTTATAATCTATATATTTAAGCACATTGGAGACTTTCCAGTCTGAGAAAACGAAACTGCATGATTCCTTCATTGTACTTCTTCTCTAATTTTAATTAATACAAGCCCTGTACAAATTTGATTTCAGAACCGACTCTCAATAGTGTCTTTCAAAAGCCTCTTTACTGCCTTTTCTATTTTTACTGTTGATTTTGTCTTGAGCCTGTTCTAGATTTTTATCTTTAATTGACCATCACACAGTCATTGGAAGCTGGGCTGCCACATGTCCTCTTTTATAAGCAGTCTTATTTATTTCCTTTAATTCCTGTATTCTACTCATGACTACTGTTTTGCTGGGTTTCTATCAATCCTGTAATATCCCACACTTTACTAGTAATCCCAAATTTCACATTCCATTTTCCTAGCTCTTTGTCTACGAATGCTGTAGAGTTCAGCACAGTCAGTTTAGGGTTGTTTTACATGTCTCTGCATAATGGATTTTGGGCAGGCTGCAAACAGCTCTGTTTTCTTCCCTGTCACTCCTATGTGTTCTTTTATTTCATGATACATGGCCATATACATGATCTGCATCCTTTGCATTAAAGTGTGGAAAGCATGTGTGATCTTCTCCCAGTCTTACTCTCTGACTTTAAAGTACAATGACTGGTTTTTCGCTCTCAACTGCAGCAAGCTATTTCACTACTAATAAGGTAGTCCCCTAAAAAGAATAAATTTAAGGTCTTTCAGAAGTTGGATACCTTGAGTATCTCAGTTGGTCAGAGCATGGTGTGAACAATCCCAAGGTCACGTTTTATCCCTGCAAGGGCCATTCACTTAAGACCTGGACTTAATCCTTGTGAGTCCCTTGCAACTCCAAATATTCTGTGATTCTAAGTGATATGCTATTTAGAATAAAGACAAAGTCTTCCTTTGTCATTCCTCCAGCCTTTGGAAACCAGAAGGTATTACCAGAGGTGCTGCTTTTTTTTTTTCTTATACAAGAGTTCTTTGTTAGCAAGAATCTGCCTAAGTCATACATTCCAACATAAAAAACAGGCAGTGGCAGTGGATTTTTCAGGTCCCATCAAAATCTTTTCAGCCTCAGGACTGACATGTGCCTTACACTTTCTGCCTTGTAATATAGTAGGCCTATATATTCTTGTAGCATGTTTATTGCTAAAACTTCTTTTTGTTCCCTGTATTTATTTTTCCTGATGGTTAGTGTATTCCATTATCTTTTTTTTTTCTTAATGCGCTTTATTATTTCATTTTCTATTATGTAATGCTGCTATTCTTTTCCTCTTGCTTCTAACAACAAAACTATTCCACAGCAATCAATACGAAATGGAGCTGGTCTTTGCCTTGTTTTCTGGGTCACAGTTTGTCAGTGGTCTGCCCTCTTTATCCTTTCTCATAATAATGTTTCAGCTTTGCAGTGTTGCATCAGCAAAATGAATAATATATGTTCCACAGAGCTGTGTACTATTAGTCATTCCCCCAGACATTCCATAGGAGCTCCCTGGCTTGCTGCTGTGATATGAAGTTTCTAGTCACTTGTGAATTTTATTTAGTTGTGCATAATATATGCCGATTTTTCATGGGAATAAAGGTTATTTTTCATTATTTGTAGCTTCAGTCATCTGTTTGATATCCTCACTACATCAGGAAATTCAAGGAAGCTGTGCAATGCCTCATAGATCCAGCCATGTTCTAGAGAAGGCTCACTGTAAATACAGTAATTTCCCAAATGTGAACTTTTGTGTCTTTAAACCTAGTCCAGCAATTTCAAACATAGAGAATCACAGAATTAACTAGGCTGGAGAAGATCTTTGAGATCACTGAGTCCAACCTATGACCTAGTATCACCTTGTGAACTAGACCATGGCACTGAGTGCCACATCCAGTCCTTTCTTAAACACCTCCAGGAACGGTGACTCCACTGCCTCCCTGGGCAGCCATTCCAATGCCCAATCACTCTTTCTGTGGAGAATTATTTCCTAATGCCCAGCCTAAACTTCCCCTGGTGCTGCTTAAGGCTGTGTCCTCTTGTCCTGTCACTGGTTATCTAGGAGAAGAGTCTGAACCCCATCCGGCCACAGCCTCCTTTCAGGTATCTGTTCTGACCTAATCAAAACTGCATTACACTTATTCTTCAACAACAGTGAAAATATATCTTGAGCCTTTCATAATTTTATTATATATATAGCTATTATTTAACATTAAAACTATCAGTTTTACTTAATTGTTGCCTTTTACAGGAAAATCTGCAAGGTGGTAACATAAGGAACCTCTTTCTCCTAGATCTGTATTTGCATTTCCAAATGTTTAGTTTTGATACTGGTACCCATGGCAGCAGGGAATCCCAGCTTTGTGCCAGGCACAAGAACAGTGGAGGCACACTGGCCTCTGTCACAGTTAGCCTCTCCTGCCTTCATGACATAAACCCCAACACTGAACTTCCTAATCTTCTGCTCTTGCACATGCATAGACAAAAGCCCTAACCTAGGGTGGACCTACAGTGATTCACTACCTAGTGGTGAGCTGAGCTCACTATGGTGCTTGTACAGCAGAGGCAGAGGGACACCAGCATCTGCAAGAAAGGACTTTGCATCAGAAAACAGGGAACATCCCTCTCTGCACAGCTCAGGGGCAGCGACACAGCCTTTGGGCTACTGTCCACAATGAGCAGGATGCAGGTTGGGGCATCCAGTGCAGCAGCACACCACCAGTTTTACACTTACCCCATTCCATCTGTCAGCCGTTTGTACCTTCTCTGCTACAGGGCCAATTTGGGATGCCCCCATCATTTTCCCTGGTTCAAGCAGCAATGATGTCTTGTCAGCAATCATTTCAATCCTACAGTTTGGGAACATCAGGTGCAGGCAGTGTGAAATTTAATTGTAATATTATACAAAAGCACAAGATTGAACAGAAAACTTTGTTTTCTACAAGCTGACTAGTGAACTTTTTAATTTTGTTTTCAGTACATTAAATTAAAAAGCAGCAGAAGTTTAACTTACATTTTCAAAATGCAAGTCACATTAACCTTATCATATTCTCACATAGTAGACTCCACCTGCTGTGCAACTCGTCGTCTTGTGGGCACACTCTCAGCAGTGTTGTCACTAGTGTAGTGATTTCATTTGGGCAAAACTTACTGCCAGTAAGATTCTTGACCAGTTCACTGTACAGTCCTGGTGGCAGCCACTGCTCTGGCAGATCAATGTTACAGACTTCAATCCTTCCATGCTTTACATCCATATTTACTTTAATGTCAAGAACAGAATCTTTATAGGCCATGTTAAGACATGTGCTAATGCTGAACTTTGGTGTCTTTCCATACACCCATTCCCAGGTTTGTAGTTCTTTAGTTTTGTTACTAATTCCAGGAAGCAGAGCCTCATCAACTGGATTAATTAAGGTGATATGGTGATCTATCTGGTGTTGCACAGCATATTCTTTAGCAATGGCATCCAGGAGAATCTCAGAAGTTAAACTAGGATCCTCTTCAAAGAGATTTTTCACCGAGGCAGGCACACTAGGAGTAGCATTGCTCTTAAGCCCTTTATAAGGACTTTTAAGCACAGAAGATAAAACAAACTTATCTGCATTACAGAGCAAGGTACAGTGGTGATAAGCACTTGTCCTTCCCAGCTTTGCAGCAGTGCCTGAGATTTTGTATTGACTGTCTAGCAAAATGTCATATCTGTCAGTGACTTGTACATCTAACTGGGGTCGCAAGGCTTTCAGTGCCTTCACAATGAGCTTCAGGTTTTCCATTCGTTCATATTTTTTTCTGGTTGTGAAGAAAGTCAAATTGATATTACCTAAGTCATGGTAAACTGTCCCTCCTCCACTTCTTCTCCTGGCTAGTTTTATATTTTTTTGCCTCAATAGCCTGAGGTTGCATTCCTGCCAGGGATTCTGATGTCTCCCTATTACCACAGCAGGGGAATTTCTCCAAAGGAAAAGGACTTGTTGCTTCTCTAAATCCATGTGGTCATGGATCCAGTCTTCCACAGCTAGATTTTGGTAAACATCATTAGAAACAGACTGGATGATGAGGCCTCCACTAGCTGTGCTCCAGAAGCAAGCTTTTGGAGTCCTGAGGACGCAGGACAGCCAACGGCAGTTTTTTAATGACTGGAGTACCATGTTTTTAATAACTGGACAGCAGATGGAAGGAATGCCTGCTCCGCTAATGTTGAATGAAGCAGAAGCGCGGCCGGCTCCTGTGACAGAACCGAAATGCCAGTGGCGGGCACAAGACAGTCATGCTCTTCCCACAGCGGCACGCGAGTTCAAGGCACGGCGCTCCTCCGGTGATGCCGCTCAGACCCGGCGGGAGCCTCACACAACATCCGCAGGTGTCAGAGCAGCTGCTCCTCGCAGTCCCTGGTGCCTGAAAGACCAAAGGAAGAAACGGAATGTGTCTTTTCCTCCGTCACTCAACGCAGCCTTGCTAATGCGGTTTCGCTTTGCGTGGTCCAGCTTTGTTAGGGTTTTCTGCCTTCTTTCCCATGGGGTTCTTGGCGCGGCGTCCCCTCAGCCCCCGACGCCGCGTCCCCGCCCGCACAGCCCCGCCGGGCGCCCCGCGCTACTCACGGCGGGGAGCGGAGCCGTCCCACGGCCCCTCCGTGTCCCCGTGGGCTCCTTGAAGCCAGCGGCTTCGGGAGCGCCTTCCGCTTCCCGGGTGAGAGGTGCTGGGGGCGGGCGCTGCGACTGCCGTGCGGCCGGGGAGGGCTGAGGGCGGTGATGCCGGGCAGGGCTGAGGGCGGTGCCAGGCAGGGCTGAGGGCGGTACCGGGCAGGGCTGAGGGCGGTGCTGGGCAGGGCTGAGGGTGCGGGCGGGATAAGCCGGCCTGGTGCTGGGTGAGTGCCGGGGTCCCGCCTATCCCAGCGCAGCCATGGTGCTGGGCAGGGAAGGGAGCTGGGGAGAGCGAGAATGACCAGGTCACAGAATCACAGAACCCGTCAGGTCTGAAGGGATCATAGTGGGACATCCGGTCCAACCTCCTGCTCAAGCAGAGTTATGCAGAGCACATGGCGCAGGATTGTTTCCAGACGGATCTTGAATATCCCCAGTAAGGGAAACTCCAAACTGTCTTGAGCAGTCTGTTCCAGTGCTCAGTCACTTCCACGGTAAAGGTTTTCCTTATGTTCAGGTATAATTTTCTGTGCATCAATTCCTGGCTATTGCTTCTCATTCTATTGCTTGGCACCTCCAAGAAAAGCCTGACTTCATCCTCTTTACACCTTCGCTTCAGATACTTTTGGGCATTGCCCACAATATTTACAGGACAACAAGAGGCCGGTGCACGATGCATAAAATAGATGATTTTTCTTAAAGACCCAGATGTGCAGTTCCTCTCTGCAGGATATTCTGGATGCTAGAAGCTTTCATGAGTTCACAAGGAGACAGAGTTAAAACAAATGCACAGAGAGTTGTGAAATGCACTCTGTATGGTACTCATGAAGATATAGAAGCTAAATGTCAATCGCATAATTCTTTAACAAGCTAGAAAGTGATCAAAAGCTAGATGTATTGCCGGCAGCAGATTGTCTTCAGATTTGCATTTAAGCCATTCTTAATGTCTACCAGTCTTTAGCTAGAATTCTTCTTCAAAAGCTATTGTCTGTGCTTAAGCTTACACCGTGGGACAATTTTCAGTGCTAGCTGAAGGTTTTTATCCACAGTAGTATCCCTATGGGCAAATACGTGCTGTACATGGATGTGTATTTCTAAAAGGTACATTACATGGCTTTGTCTTCCATTCTGCCTTAAAAGAACTTTGTGGGCGTAGTAGGGCAAGTAAAAAGAAGCCATCACATGTGTACTGGTGGTGATTAGTGAGAGAAACAGACTCTCAAAGGAGCTTGATGTGATGTGTGTGCCAGTATCTTTAAAGTTGTACCATTACATTAAAAAATCAAAAAAGGAATTTTTTTCATTTTAAGCAATTTGAAATGGACTTTGAAAAATAACTTTTTGCTGAATTGGACTGGTAATAATTTTTCACTGGGGTGAACTATTCTGTAATGCACAAGGTAAAAAAGCATGTGGATTTTGTCCATAAAACTGTGCTGGAAATCAATGTTGAATGTTTTGAATGACAAAATGCAAGTGTGAACCCTTGAATTCCAGCACTGGTCAGAAGCATGGAAATGCTTTTTGTGAGACCACTGATGTTACTAAAAACCCCCCAAAAATGTAGGACACTTGTCTCTATTTTGGCACTTGATTCTTGAATGTTTGTAATGTGTCATTTTGCCACGGGGTGTCCCTAAAAATCTACAGTGAGCTGTTGCAGTCTGTGTTTTTCTAGTCAAAAACTGTTTTCGTAGTTAGAACCCTAATTCGCTAAAAAATGTAAAGTGTGCAGAATATTAGGTGGACGGATAAAAATGTCATGGGTCTGTTTCTGATAAGCTGAAGGGTGAAATAGACATGCAACATAAATGCCTTCCTATTGTTGAAGACAAATCCAGCAAGATAATTAGAAATATTATGACAATAAGCAAAAGGTCTGAATTTGTAAATGTATACCATGATTTATTTATCTCTTCTGGATTGGACATTTAAAATTTTTTATTTCTCGACTACTATTTTATAAATCACATCTGTAAAATCTGTAAAATACACCAGTTATTATTTTCACTTTTGAAAACAATGCTGTATATTAATTTAATTTATTTTTTTATCAACAAAGCATTTTCTGGTATACAAAAAGCAATGCAACCGCTCTGCACAACAATAACCGACATTAAGATATAACTCACCATACGTCCCTTAGAGGATACCTTAGACATACCAGATCAAAACCAATGTATCATTAAAATGTATCATTTCACTTCTAAAATGAATTTTCATGAAGAATAATTTTCTTAAAGTTGTGAAAACATGAAATGCCCTTTTTACATCTCTTTTGGAGATAAACATGATCATGCAGAGTCTCTTCTTCCACCATGCCAAAATCCAAAACTAAGATTTACAAGATATCCAAGATAGGGAAAGGGAAAAGAAAAAGACTTGTTTCTCTAGCTCTGTTTCTGGAAGTTAAAATCTTCCAATTTCTTTTCTGGCTTTAGGTGGGGATTGTATTTCAGGTGTTACTCGCTCCTAATGGCTGAAAAGGCAAGCTGTATCCATGAGTGCTTAATAGTGGCTGCTTGCCAAAACCCCTGTTATTCACGCTGCACTGTCTCCAGAATATAAAGCCTGTGCTAGTGGCTAGCAGGGAAGAGAGGACATTTTGTCTGGTTTCTCAGCTTGACTTTGGGACTACCTAAAGCAGTCTCTTTCAAAGGCTGTTTATATTCTTGCCATGGGCAGGCAGTAGGAGTCACAGGGTTCACATGGCCTCCTTACCCTTTTTGCATCACTTTCTTCAAATGCACCAGTCTGCTTGTCCCTGTCTGTGCTATTCCAAGAAGAAGATATATGCAGCCAGAGGTACTGGAACAAGAACTCCTATCTTGGGATATAAGAAAACATAAGAAGTAATTTCCCTCAAATGATTTTGTTGATGGAATAAAGAAAAGCTTAATTAGCCTTGTAATACTCTGATGTTTTGACTTCACGATGTTTGTAAACCAGTAATATGTTAGTCCTGGCATTAAAAATCAGGAATGAGTTCAAACTGGAGTTTATTGTATGTGTGAAGCTAATGTTTGACACTGTCAAGGAACAAGTGTAGTGCAAAGAGTAATATTTATTCTGGATGATACAACTGGCACATAGTTTTACAAATAGATACGTAAATTAGATGAGTTTTGGATAGAAGATAAGGTTTAATTAAAGGAAGCTATTTTCACAAGATAAGTCAGTCTTATCTAACACTTGTTTTGTTCTTGTCAGGCCTGAGAGTTTGTGTGGCAATTGCTGGAGTTTTCATCTGTAGAAGTGTCTCCTTGGATATTAGTTTCTGGAAGAGATGAACCTAATTAGAGTAGAGGTGTTCAGCAGAGCTCCCGGACTTCACTGTCAGTCCCGCCTGATCAGCTGTGGCAGTTTCAGAATACCCATCTCTCTCCTGGAGCTGCACTGACAAGACTTGGCTGCTTGGCTTTGTCTCTGAAATCTTCTGACCTGTAAGAATTGCTCATGCTGCCTTTCCCTGCCTTGTGCTGAGGCTTTTGCATTAATCATAGGCAAGGCCTATGCTCCGTTTGTGAGTTCAGGAGGTTTGGGTTAAAGGTGCTTTAAAATAATACTTTAAAAGAATTTCACTCAAAACAACAGTGAGTGGTGGCATTGCATGTGTCTGAGTGTGCCAATTTATGACCAGTCCTCCTGTTTCCATCCCCAAATAACTATGAAGAATTTATTATTTGAGGAAGTAATTTTTTTATCTGTCAAGGTGTGGAAAGAGTGTTGTGTCACTTGAGGAGAAGCTTGGCTTAACTCCCTCCCCCAAGAGAAAAGCTCTTCAAAAAGATGTAGCAGCAACCAGTCACTCTGTATTCATTTGTACTTAAAACCAGAAAGAACTATGAGCACCTTTCCTTGACTTTATTAATGTTTATTGAGAAACTGTGCTCTACATCATAAACGTGATACAGAAAGTTGAATTTTCGTAGATAAGTTATTCAAAAACCTTCCAAGATGAAACCAAGTAGAGAAATAATTAAAATTGCTATGAAAGCAGTGCTCATAAATATTTATATCAGTATTAATAGGGAAAGGGGTTTATTGATAATTTTGTACAAGATTTTACAATGCATCTTTTAAAACTGATATTTAGGAATATTTCTAACCTCTCATTTTTTTCCCCATAGAATTTCAGTCATATACACTTGTAGGGACAACAGATATTATGATCATCTTGGAAAGCAAGAGTAAAGAAAATAAAAGTGCAGAGATAGCAGGCTTGCTAGAAAGCTATTTAGGTAAGTTGTTATGCTGGTACTGAGCCAGAAGTCAGTATGTCCATCGCAGCTGCTTGGCTTCTGTCCTACAGAACTCCTGGCTCAAGGAAATCAGAATCATAGAATAGTTTGGGTTGGAAGGCCAAAAGACCACATAGTTCCAACTCCCTTTTAATGTACAGGGACACCTTCCACTACACCAGGTTGCTCAGAGCTCCATCCAGCCTAATGTTGAACACCTCCAGATGTGGGGACTCCACAGCCTTTTTAGGTAATCTCTTCCAGTGGCTCATCACCCTCTGAAGAAGTGAATTCTTCTTGAAAATATGCAATTCTTCCCTATTATGTAATTTAAACCCTCCCTCCTTCAGTTTAAGGGCATTTCCCCTTGCTGTATCACTACATTCTTTTGTGGAAAGTCCCTCTCCAGCCTTTTTGTGAGCTCCATTTAGGCACTGGAGTCTCTCTGGAGCCTTCTCCAGGCTGAACAACCCCAGCTCTCTCAGCCGGTCTTCATAGGAGAGGTGCTCCAGCTGATCCTCTCATCAGCTTAGTGGCCCTCCTCTGCACTTGTTCCAACAGATCAGTGTCTTTCTTGGACTGGGGGCTCCAGAGCTGGATGCAGCACTTCAGGTGGGGTCTCATGAGGGCAGAGTAGAGAGGGAGAATCACCTCCTTCACCCTGCTGGGCACGCTTCTTTTGCTGCAGCCCAGTATGTGGTTGGCCTTCTGGTCTGCAAGGCTACATTGCCAGCTCATGTTGAACTTCTTGTCCACCAGCACCCCTAAGTCCTTCTCCCCAGGGCTGCTCTCCATTAATTCTCCCCCCAGCTTGTGTCCCTGTCACTGACAGATGTTAAACACCACCAGCCCAATATTAACCTCTGAAGAGCACCACTGGTCTCCATCTGGACATTGAGTCATTGGCCAGTTTGAGTGCAACCATCCGTCTAATTCTTTATCCACAGAATGGTCCATGAGAGAAGTCCATGTCTCTCCTGATTAGAGACAAAGATGTTGTGCAGGATATGTCAAATGCCTTGCACAAGGCCTATGGTAGGTAGGTAGATGATAGCAGTTGCTTTTCCCTCACCACTTACTTTACACCACTGCTGTAACCTCCGTGTAGAAGGCCACCAAATTTGTATGATTTGCCTTGGTGAAATCATGTTGACTACCACTATTTACTTCTTATTTTCCATGTGCCATAGTATAGTGTCCAGGGGATCTGCTCCATGATCTTGACAGGTACTGAGGCAAGAGTTACTGGCCTGGGTCTTCCATATGTCTTTTCAAATCAGTGGTAAAATGTGTCACAGCAGTAAATTCTTACCACTATATGGCAAGTATAAGTACGTATTTTAGGCTATATAAATATTAGAATGTTTTTCTAAAAGTATTCTTTCACTAGTTGGTAAAAGTAGTATTGTGAGTGAGCAAATACTCTGTGTAAATTCTGTGTGTAAATTTGAGTCCTCAATGCTCAGTGAGTTGCAGATTGCTTGGTTGCTCTGATTTGTTCCGTTCCCTAGGGCTAGGGAAATGCACATAACTGCAGAACTTGAGTGTCTCTTTGAGAGAGAATAGGGATGGGATTCACCTAATCTAACTGATATGTCAACAGTGATGATGATTGTAATAGATATCTAGGCTGTCTTTATCCTCAGAGCTAATCCTAGGACATGATTAATTTTAGTATGAATGCAAAAATCTATTGTAGGAATCACTTTCTAGAAATTACTCTTTGTAGTGACTCAAAATTACATTAATTTACTCTTAAATGGGATTTGATATGCAATTTTGAATTTCAGAATTGCAGTTTATCTTCAGAATCTGTTTTAGACTCTTACATGACTTTCTGGATTTCAACAATACTTACTTTCACCTTATTTTATTTCCATTGCAAAAATTCACCTTTCATGGACCTTAAACAAACATGGTGGCCTACTCTCTATCATATTTAAAAATTCATTAGATATTCCAGTACAAATCTACCCTTAGTTTTGAACAGACATATTTCAAGTTAATTAACATTTAGCTTTTATGTCCCTTTCTTTCTTGTTAGATCCATATTAGAAGGACATTCTAATGGCATATTTACAATATAACAAAAAAGAGAAAATACAGACATTCAGAAGTTACTTTAAAGTATTATATGGATATTTATTTTAATTTGATATCTGCTTCATCTTCATTTTTAAGAGTATATTTATCCATTTTACATTGAAGTATCACTAATTACAGAAGTTTTATTTTGGTGCATGCATTCTCTCATTTATGCTAATTATGCAAGTTATATTATAAACAGAATCTGAACTAAAGCAAGGGAGTCACCTTCAAGACTTGATGCCTTTATTAAGTCACTGGAAAAGGACAGAGACTGCTGTAAATGTGAGACTGAGAATTTGTTGAAGGTATTAAGAAACACTTTCTCAAGTCCTAAGTGAACCTCTGCTTGTGGCAGCATTAAAAAAAAATCATCCATCCAGGTGAGCTTGGGAAATTACTTTGGAAGAGGAGGAACATATTTTTTAGAATATATATCTCATGTTAAACGACTAAAGCTATAACTATCAGGAAGAAAAACTAATTGATTGTAAACAGAAGGATGCATAAGATCGGAATGGGCCAATAAAAGAAATTTTCAAACCAGATTAATAAGAAAGTGTTTCAAGTTTTGTTTCTCTACTTGAACATTATATTACCATATTCTTTAAGGGAATGGTTTCTGCTCTAGAAGTCTTGAAAATATTGAGAGAATGTGCAGAGCTTGAGTCAACATGGAAAATAAATGAATATCGTGGCAGAAATTCAGGGTAACTTCAAAGTTTTAACAGCTGAGAGAGACAAAATTCTCAATCTTTATTAACAGATAATTTTATTTATAATTGTGTAATTAATTGAAATAACAAGGTAATGTGCAAGAAAAAACATATTTTTGCCTCTTATGGAAAAAGAAAATGCAAAGTATTTGTTTAAAAAAGAAAAAAAAGTTATGGAAATTCTGTGATTTGAATCTGTCAGTTCAATACTAGTTTTTAAGTGCTGTCCTGAGTTAAAAATGCTTTCCTGAATCAAAGAATGTGTGCACAAATTATTACTTCTTCTTTGATATTACACTGTTTCTGGGATGCTCTACATCACCAGCCACAGGACCCAGTAATATATAGATTATCTATTCCGTGTTTGTTATTCTACTGTTTAAAAAAACAGGCACAGAAGGAGATATCCCAGCTTTGTCAGGAAGTTATTAAATGCCCCAGGACTCCTAAAAACACTGTGATAGCTCAAGCTGTATTAAGACACATGGAGATAGAAAGGGATACAGCACTGTCAGATTTCCAAAGGATGCCTACAGAACATGATAGCCTCTGGGAGCAGTTACAGATTTGATTCTGTCCCATCCCACCTCAGCCCCACCCCACAGGTTATTTAAACATGAAAACTACTTAGCAGTGTCATTAAAGTTGCTAAGGATTTCTCTTCTGGTCCTGAGAATGAATAACTTTACAAGTCTGCGATGACTTGAGACTTGTTCTACATGTGATTTTGTTGTTGCCGTTATTTGATACAGATTTCCCAAGAAGCTATGTTTAATGAAAAGGCTCATTTGGAAAAGAGAATTGAAGAACTTGAAACTACTATTCACAATGTAAGGGAAAATATTTATTTATGGAATTTTAAATACAATACAGGTGATGTTCATGGTTAATCCTGCAGGACCAACCTGACTGCTATCAGGAAACAACAGGCAGAGAGCAGTGGATGTTATTAACCAAGACCCTTTCCCCTCTGCTCTGCCCTGGTAAGGCACCACCTGGAGGACTGTGTCCAGCTCTGGGGTCTCCAACATAATAAGGACATGGATCTGTTGGAGAAAGTCCAGAGAGGCATGAAGATGATCAGAGTGGGCTGGAGCACCTCTCCTACAAAGACAGTCTGAGTTGGGATTGTTCATCCTGGAGAAGGGAAGACTCTGGGGACATGTTTTGGCACCTTCCAGTATCTAAAGGAGACCAGCAAGAGAGCTGGGGAGCTGGGGAGGGAGTTTTCACAAGAACAAATACTGGCAGGGCAAGGGGGAATGGTTTTAAACTGGAAGAAGACAGTATTAGGTCAGATACAAGTTAGAAATTTGTGACTGTGAGGATGATGAGGTCCTGGCACAGGTTGCCAAGAGAAGTTATGGATGCCCCATCCCTGGAAGTGTTCAAGACCATCTGGACCAGGATGGAGCACTCAGCAACCTGATGTAATGGAAGGTGTCCCTGCCCATTGCAGGGGGTGTGGAACAAAATGGTTTTTAAAGTCCCTTCCAACTAAAACCATTCTGTGATTCTGTGATGTTAAGGCTCTACCAAATTTTTGACATTGTTACCCACAGTGATCTTACATCTAGGTGAGGATAGGCTTGTTCCACCTGCAGTAGAAGTGGCTTAAGAGGGACATAAGTTCTACCTGCCAGCAGGTATGACATCAAGAAGTCATAAACAGGCTTTTTACTGCAGTTCTTATCAGGAAAGATGAGCAACAATGGGCATCCATTGAAACCAGAAGGGTTCAAGCTGAATACAAGGAAATACTTGCTTCTCATGAGGGCAGTCAAGCGGTCCCCAGCCTTGGAGACTTTCAAGACTGGACTGGACAAAGCCCTGAGCAGCCTGACCTCACACCTGGCCCTGCTTTGAGCAGGGGTTTAGACTAGAGACCTGGAGTCCATTCAAATGTGAATTATCTTATCACTGTGTATTACTAAGACCTGATGCTTCAAAGCTAAATGTAATTCCACTGTTCTGGCAAGTTGTATTTGTAAGTTGTATGTTTGTGCAATTGTTTGCTAACAAATGGCACTAAAATACAAAATGAAAACATTAATAAAATGAATGTAAATCTTAAATTTACTTACAGTCTTGGTAGAACTTGATTTTTAAACACATTAACATTGATTTCTGCAGAATATCTTTCTTCTAGATCTTACGGTTATAAATTCTGGTTTATCTTCTTTTTCCACCTCAGCCTTCTAAAATCCTGCCAAGCTTATAAATATAATACTGCAGTTCATAATATTAAATGGAGTGCATCTGATATGAAGAATACACTGTAGGCTGAAATAGCTCTGAGTAGTAAATTAACTTTAATCACACACTTACATATGATGTGTAGTGAGTATTGGGAGCCCTGTTTTAGGTACATCATCTTATTTATTCAGTTCTTTTGGTACCCTTTGAGGGCAGTACATGAACATGACATTTATGGCACTTGTATTGAAAAAAATACTGTATACCAGAGGCTTACTGACTTGCTCTTTAGAGGCCTGACCTTTGATTATAGTAATACAGAAATTAGTACTGAAAAGTCTGGTAAAGGAGAAGAGGGATGAGGTGAGAATTTTTGTACTTTAAAAGAGTTGTTTCAAATAATTTAGAAAGGATAGTCCATTGAATGTTAAGTGTAAGCATTTTAATAAAAAGATAGATGTTTCTTTAAATTGAAGATTTCAAACCAGCTTTGCTAGAGTCTGTGCAAGAGGCTTTGGTTCTTTTTTTGAGCTACAGACCTGAAAGCCTCATGGGGATAACTTGGTTACATATGCTTTATGCCAGTGATTTCTCTACCTGGTTATTGGCATAGGTGTGTAACTTAATAGAGGCCTAAAGCCATTATTGGTCATATTGTGTCCCAAACCATGATTTCTTCCTTCATACAATCATAATAATGTTTTCTTTTATGTTATTTTGCACTGAAAACTTTTAATGTTGATCGATGACAAACATTTTTGCCCTCGGGCATAATTACCAACCAAAAATTTACATGAATATATTAAAATATTCCCAGAGATTTAAAAGATGGGAAATTGATTTACCTTCAAAAGAAGTGAAAGTCACATTTCAGGTCTTTGCCAACTATCTTCAGTAAAATGAGTCAGGCCTTGAGTAAATGAGATGCTTGGATATTTCTTCTTCAGCAAAAGATTTGTGCTAAAAACAGAGTAGAAATTAAAATAAATTCTATAAATCAGCTTTTTTTTCCTCATCTGTTAATGTTTGATAATATTTATAGTTAGATAATGAACAGTTAGAACAGATGTCCAAAGTGGCACTAATGTAAGACCCCATTGATTCTCTGGAAACTGAGATGAAGAGATTGACAAGAAAAGAACTGGATTCTGAAACTGAGCTGAGTTGACAGGAAGGTGAATATGCATCTCTTAGGTAAGTAAAAGGATGTAATTGCATTAATTTGACTAGTAACATCAGCCTATGTTCATTGGTTTTTGTAACTGTTATATGGCTGAAAGGAAAAGGAATTTATGAAAGGTAAACGGCTTATGTGCAATCCTTTATTTTGGAATGAAATTGTTTTCCTCATTGCTTATTTATATGTAAATGTTATCTTATTGAAATGATGATATGGTAGAAATCATCTTCAGTGAAAAAGTAAAATTCACTTCATTAGAGTTAGAAGATTTCTATTAGAAATGACAGGGATTGATGGGTTTTGGTAAATAGCATATGAATAATTTTATTTTAATTTTAATTTTTTTTATAAAAACAGGCAAACATGCATAAACTAGGGAATGTCATGTTGACAGTTTTAAAGATCCAAAGTCTTTTTCATGAGAGGAAATAAAACTGGATCTTTGCATAGGGCTTATGATCTGCTGCTGAACTGGAGTTCCCAGCCATGTTGAGAAGCATAGTAGGACTAGACTTGATCAAAGCCTTTAGGGAATAAAACATGTGTCAGTGAGTGCTGCTTTATAATAAATTCTCAGATTCATGAGCACTGATGAATTGTTGAAAACTACTGAAAGATCTTTTTCTTTACACCCCCGAAGCAAACTGATAATTATTTTCGGTTTCTTGAACAATGTGAGAATCACTAATATTACTACATTTGAACAGATAACTTGGGTATAACTTGAAACAGGCCAGGCATTCCAATGGATGTCCCAGGGGATGATTTTTATTTTAATTATTTTTGTGACTTTTTTATAATCACCTGTTGCAAAGAATTCTTCTACTTTTCTGTAATCCTTTACATGATTATTCAGAATTTAATATACTGAGATTAAAGTTAAAGTTATTTATAAAATATCCCAAACAGTCTGAAATAGACAGAAAAATCTAAATTTTTCCTATCTTTTGCAATTTTAGTGACCTTTCCAAAAGAAAAAAAATGAATATATCACTGTCCGATTTCTCCTGTTTAATGCTTCTGCTTATCCAGTTTATTGAATGAAAAGACAGAACTGAGTCTTTCAGAGATTCAGTGAAGCCTTGTGCAGAAAAGCTTTAAATGCAACTTAGCTAAGAGAAAATTATGCATTTAGATGAAAAATTGGTGAGACATCCAATTTTTATAATAAAATTCAGTAGGCTAATTTTAATATTCTGTAGTCATCTTTTTTTTGAGTTGAAGGAAAATGCATTGAATGGAAATAAATATACTTCTTAAAGTTTTAACATTTTGAACGCAAAACCCTTGTTTTGTCTCATTATTGAAAGGTTTTTGCATTTTAAAATTGTGACAGAGCTCTGGCAAATACAAGTTTCAGTGACAGCACATGCTGTCAGCTGAACAGTGTGTGCTGGTGCTGGTGTGCAGTGTCTGAGCATGTCAGTTATATTTGTGATTCACTAAGGCAGTGGTAGCACCATAAAATACTGATGGTGGAAATCAGGAAAACATGCTCTGTATTACATTGCAGTATATATCCTGTACTGTGTGTTGCACCTTTTTTATATTATGGAAGTAAATGAGTTGGATACAAGCATTTTTATTCCAGTAATGCCAAGGAATATGTTCTTCCAGAACTACAGCAGTAGAGTGGTGATACTTTCCCTAATGCAGAGCAAGATACTGCTTGCCTTCTTTACAGCACGGGCACATTGGTGGCTCATGTTCAACATGATGCCCATCAGGACCTCCAGCTTTCCTCCTAAGCTGCTCTCCTGCTGGGTGGCCCACAATGTGTACTGGTGCCAGGGGTTGTTCCTCTCTAGGTTCAGGAATTCTCTTTATTGAACTTCATGAAGTTGTTCTCAGCCCATTCCTGCAGCTGGTGCAGGTCCCTCTGGACGGCAGCACAACCCTCTGGTCTATCAGCCACTCCTCCCAGTTTATTACCTCCTTGGTAATATCAAGAAAACAGTCTCTTACTTCATCTATAATTACGTGTTGCAGTCTACATGTTGCTTCTGTCTATAGTAATTCTGTTTAAACTTTTGTTACAATACCAAAAAAAGTTACTTTAAGTATTTGCTACTGAAAAATAGATTTGTTCTGAGCCATGTAATTTAAGGCCCTGATCTAAAGAAGAGTCCAGGCCTATAAATATAATTTGTAGATCATTGTTACTATATTTTTAAAAGGTGCATGCTTCACTGCTTTCTTCAAGGGGAACTTTTGCCTTGTTCTTTTATACTTTAGAAATGTATTAAAAGAATTTTAATTTCAAATGGCTTGAGTTAGTTAAAACTGAGACGCTTCTGATTGCATCCAGATAAATTTTCAAGATAAAGTCTTGTACAACAAGAGGAGATCTGTACTTTGAAAGAAACAATTGCACAACCTAAGTCATCTTTGCAAGACTATGTGGAATAAGGAAGAGAGAGGATTGCTACTTTTCAGGAAATCCTAGGAATTAAAATATGTTTTAATATTCAAATAGTCACAGAAGGTAAATAGGAAAAAGATCTGTTGGGTTATCACACCTATCCTGTATTGGTATCTACAGCAGTGCTGCATGCTGGTCTAGTTCTGCTCCAGCTGAAGGGCAACAATAAGAACTCGTGTTGACTCCAACAGCAGCAGGTTTGACCTGTGCTGATCATCTCAGTTTAGGTGTTTTGTACTAGTTATACTTACTGAGAGAGAAGACTTTATGTACTCTCCTGAAGTGGAGAAAATTAGCCAAAAAATATTTTGTTCGTCATAAAAGTTAGCCTCACTTCTTCCTTGCGGTCCTGTGATGTTAAAGATGGAGGATACTAAATAATATTGCCTTGCTTGTCATCGAAGAAACATCTGAAATATGTTCTTTTCATCATAAGGTTTATTGTCCAGTGTGATTTTAATCTATATAATGAAACTACTTAGTTACTAGTTCTGAAACTTCATTTTTCACTTCAGCTTAGGTGGCATGGATAAAGTAAACAAGGCATTTTTAAACTGTTGTGGTTTAATGCAAGAATTTGCATTGATTTTTAATAAAATCTTAAAGAAAAATTATTGCAGCATGTCTTGCCATAAGCACTGGCTTTGCATTTTTAAAACAGCAAATTGTAAAATTGTGTCTGTTTTAGAAAAGAGATGGCTGTCTCTCACCTCTCTTGTGTCTGCAGTAAAAGAAATTTTTTAAGCCTATGCTTCTCTTACTGTCTGTGTCCAAAGACAAGAGAGTAAAGGAATATATTTAGTGATGGAGTTCTTTTTTATAAATTAAAAATTACCTGAGCAGAATAAACTACCAGTTTTTTCACTGTAGAAGAGCTGTGTTAATTTACCTAATAGGCAGAAGAATCATTTAGGTTTGTGACTTTGAGCCAAATGCTATATTTAGAAACAAAGGATAAAAAAATTTAATTAAAATTATTGTATTCTGCAAGAAGATAATAAGAAGATTTGTTCCTTTATTTGCCAAATTAAAAAAAAAAAGAAAAGAACTTTCAGCTCTAAACAGTATATGATGAAACTTGGAAAATCACAATCCACTTTGCATTAAGTAGGTAATTTATTCAGTTAGCTGAATAAAAAGAAATATAATATTCTTTCAATTTTTTTCACATTTATACTCAGCAGTGGTGAGAGATTTATTTCAATATTGCATTTCTTTTCAAGGAGAAAATTATTTCAGATTTCAAGATCCTGATTTCAGAGTTGGAGCATTCCAAAGGACAAGGACAAAGCAAGGATGAAAATTCAAGATCATTATAAAATTTTCAATAATTTATAGCTTTAAATTAAAAAAAGGAGTCATGGGATTTGTAATGTGTTACAGTTTTGTTTCATTACTTGAAAAACACTGGAAAAGCTATAATTTATATTTGATTGGGCAGTATTATTATACCTGAATAAGATTTTATTTGCTGCTTAGAGAATCTGCTGAAGTCTCCATCTGTGAGAAGGGTATCACCAGTTTGCATCAACAGTTGCAAGAAACCAACAAAGAACTCAGAATAACAAGAATAGAGCTTCGTTATCTCAGGAGAACGACAGATTACAAGAGCATCTTTCTAATACTGAGCAAGAAATTCGGGTATGTTTGTAGAGGGAAGCCTTCACTAGAAAGAAAAAATGATGCATTTTTCAAATAGCACTGAGAATTGGTGGATCTTCATCTGTAGTAAATCCAAGACTAGTTTTTAAGTTCATGTTTCAAACTCAGATTTGCCCTTGTTGCTCAGCTCACTTGTATAAAGAGGGACAGCTATTCTTATGCAATGGTTTGGATATTTGTCTTGAGGAACAGCTAATTAGTGAGTTTTCTTCCTGATCTTAAAGTAAAAACAACAAGGCAGCTATAATTATCACCTACATGGAAAAGTACTATAAAGAAAGCAGCAAGTATTTCTTACAGTGTGCTGTGACTGGCCTAGAGTACTTAAAGGCTTATGACTTTGACTTGCTAATAATTCAACACAGTACACATTTTAATGAGGTTCTAAACTTTATTAAAAGTATTGTATTTATGTTTCTTCAAGAGCTACTTTTGAATAAAAGATACTTGAAATAGTGGGTTATAGTACAGCCTTACACTATCTACTGTGTTATTTATCTCTGTGCAGTTCCTGGTGAAAATAGTTAAAATATTTCAAGTGTCATCTCATGCACACACAGTTCTCCTGCACTGATATGTTTTCCAGGAAGCTAGAAATTTAGCTTAATCCCGTAGGAGCTCATCACTTCTGTGAGTGATGCGGGTTTTCTTCTTTTTTTTTCAGCTTCTTGTCTGCATTTAGGTTTTCTGGTACTTGATCTGTGCACTTACTCTACTGCTCCCTTGACTTTATCTTCCTCTAGAAGTGCTACTCAGGTTTAAAGGACCAAATTAACTGTACCTGATGTCAGGTATATAGAACTTTCAAGTTATTAATGGTCCCTTTTAAGTGAAGGAAGGTCCTCCGGAGATTCATCCCATTCCAGTTTTTAAAGTGAATAATTTTACCTCTCTCCCTTCATTATAGAGGTAGTATAGCTAATGGCTTTAGAACAGGTGCTTAATTCTTAGGTGGACCAAAGTTCAGGTGAGCCCACTTGCATTCTAAAAATCTTTTCTCCCAAACATACTAAATTTTTCTCTTAACTCTCCTGGAAAAGGTGATGTTGGTAGTGGCTTTGACTGCCAAAGGTTTACCAGGGAATCACTTCTTCACCTTCTCTTGGAATCAGTTTATAAGGATGATGTCAGCTGGTACAAAATGCAGATTTCTGTTGCTCCCAGCTACTTTTGAAATCTTCACAGTTCTCTTTGCAATACCTGGATGCTTGTAGAAGCAGTTGGAAACAAAAAAATCTTAGTCTCACAGGATGAAGTACTTTTTAGTAGGATTGCCTCTAGAATATGTATTGGTTCCTCTAGGCCCTTCCATTAACTGAGGTGATACTCCAAATATTTAAAGTATTATCATTTCTTTGCTGGGGTTTACTGGGAAAACTTCCAGAACACGTTTCTCAGTAACTCACAGCCTTTTTGCAACAGGAATAGGGGTTTCTCCATAGAGCCTTCCCCACACTACCACACCTTCCCCCAGTTCTTGCAGTTGAGTTCTGCTAGTAATTTTGCACAGAAGAAATTTCTGAACTGTGCAGCTCAAGACAGACTTTCTGCAGTTCTTTTTCCTTCTGTTCACTTTCTCAAGCAGTAACTCTCAGAAGTTCTGTGTTCTGATACTTGTTGCTTTATTTCTCCTGATTGAGAGATAACCACTTGATTAATTAGCAAGTAAGCAATTCTGTAATAATTAAATTACTTAATTTTTTATTTGCTTTTTACTTTTTAAAATAGTCTTTTCAAAAACAACTTTCATGTAAAAAGAGATGGAACTGATTGAGCTCTGCTTGTTAAATGGGACAGGCTGTTTTTTTATGACAATCTAGCTGATAAGAAACTGATTTTTTCTTTTCAACTGCTACATTCCTTTACAGATATTTTTCTTCTTTCTAAAAGATTTAGCATTATTCATAGGTAAAAAATTTTTTCACAAATGAAAAATTTGCCTTACACATAATTAACATATCACATAGCCTTTAAAAACTAGTTATTAAAGCCACAGACCTTAGATACACACTAATTTTTTTTAAGGTACAAGCAGTAGACTTAAACCTTATGGTAAAAAACCTTTCTTCATAGGTACAGTATAAAAAACTGGTAAAGTACCAAACTGAGCTTGATGATATGAAGTTGAAAGCCCAGGATTCAAACTGAGATATTTTCAGGCTGAAGCATGTGCTGAAGTCTAAAGTGAGTATACAAATTAAAACTTGTTTATTAACTAAAAATGAAATTTTTATAAATCTCTATAGAAGAATTTGCTTCCTAACCAAAACTTATTTGCATTCCCTTAATTTTATTTTAGTAGTTTGAACACATTTTCATGGCTGTTTCTGCAGTACAAAATTAATGTAGAATATTTCATTGTGTTATATATATATATGCACATGTGTGTTTATTAAACTTGAAAAATCAGATGTAATAAAAAGAGACTTGGAAGTCTTTTGTCTTTATTACTTTATGGGCTAAAGTAAAAAGAAATATTACTGCACTATATTGCTATACTTTGTATGTCTAATGTTAACTTAGCCATTCTTAACAGATATCTATTGATTATTAACATGACTAATCTTGAACAAAACTCTGGTTCTTGAGAAGTCACTCAATGTTTTCACTAAATGGCAAAATGTTCAGTGGAAAGAGTATATCCAATACCATATCTGTAGATGAATAAATATCCCTGTGAATTATTAAGTAAGCAAGCTTTATGTGTTAGGATAGAGAACTGCAAGCTCTTGGAGAATTATCACAAAGCCCGTGAACAAGGAGGAAGTTGGGAAGCAAAATGCCATGAAGCAGAAACAGGCTTTTCCTGTTAGACTGGCACTGATTGGTGCAGTCTGACAGCCACAGTTGGAAAGGGAAAATAGAGTCCCTTGAAACACAGATGGAGCAAGTGAGTTGGAATCATTCTTTCCATAGTTCACCCTTGAAACGGTCTGGTAATATTTTAAAATTATGTTTAATGCTGCTTCTATTTCAGGGAGATTTTCCACCATGAGCTGTATGCATTTTACTTTATATAATAATATGATTAAAATTTCATTAGCTATACTTGGGGAAAAAATCTTAAAAAAAAAAAAAAGTCAAGGCAAACCAAAAAATTTAAATGCTCTCATGGTTTGGAGTCACTGAAAGCATAAAGTCATACACAACTCCACAGCATACCTGAATCATATTAAGTACTTTGTCACCTGTCATGTTCCTGTCTCTGCTCTTCTTGCTTTGAGCTTCTCAGCTTTCTTTCCACTGCTTTAGATGTCCCAAAGAGCCTCTTCCCACTTTAAAATCTGAAGGTTTTAAAGAAAAATTCATAGATTGGCTTTGGAAATATGTTGTGAACACATAAGCATGGTTTGGGGGTTCTCCAATTTTTGTTGCAAATCATCTTGGCTTCCTGAACATCACACAAGCTACTGAGGGTTGCTCAGGAGCATTAGATACTGTAGAGGAACCAACCTGTTGCTATTTAGAAAGTGGATGAGAACACAGCAATTACAAAACAGCACAGGAGGGTGGTGTAGCAGATTTTGGCATTCCTTTAAGATATAATAAAACTGGTACGTGGTTCTAGTTTGTCCAGCAGGCCTGAAACCAGCAGACATTTCATCCTTCTAATTCCTTCCCACATGCCTGATATTAAGTATAGGAATAAACAGGCCTCTTCATGAGCACTTTGTCAACATACAGGGTCAGAATTCTAAATGTCATGTTCCAGTTCATACAGTTACATGCAAGGCACATATCTAAAACACAGAAGTTTGCATTCAAAAATCCTACTGTGCTCAGCAGTGCTCTGTGTTCCTTGGGCTTTTTTTTTTTTTTTTGGTGAGACAGAGCTAGAATTAATATGATGTGCTCCCATAAAATAATTTCTTTGGATGGTAAATCCTTCAAGAAAATCGCAATGTCCTACCTCTCACTTTGCTCTGCTAACCTCCCACACATTCTGCTACCCACTGAAACTTAATGAAAGTTGCTGACCAGGAATATCACTGGGCAAAGTACAGGTATTTTTCAAAAAGGAACAACCTAGTTTATGTTAATTTTAAATGTAAAAAATTCTTAATGCTTTTAGTCAGACCTGCTGTTGCTGCCTTGTGGACTCTACTTTAATGTGTCATGCCTGAATTTACAGGTGACAGCAGTATAAATATGATTGACAGAATCTCAGCATTTGCAGATCATCTACATACAAAACCAAATTTTATTGCTAAAATAAGAGGATCTCATCTGAAAATAAAATGTGGTCCATGGCAGAATTTTCAACCTTATTAACTCTGCAAAAGGAGTAGAATTCTAGGAATAGAGTTTAAAATGCCAGTGGCTAATTTTGCTGTCAGAAGCAAGAACTCTTCTAGTTTTTATATACAGGAGTTATTTTAAAAAATTACTTGAAAGTTTACTGTAGAATAAATTACTGTGGCCTCTTAAAATTTGCCACAATTACATATGGATAATTTGTAGGATTTTGGAAGTTCTTTTAATTCTTTTTTAGTAGAGTTTTATATTGCTTTACTGTAGCATTTAACAACAGAAGCAACATACAAGTCTCCTATTTCTGCCTTAAGCAACTCTCTTGTGAAAATGGGCCAAGAACCTCAAAACATACATTAGGAGAGAGTCTCTGTACTTGCAAATGTCACATCTACACCAGAACTTTGCATTAAACTGGATGCAATCAAAGAATGATTAAATTAACATTTAATTTCCACAGCAGAGAAGGTAGAAAGGGTATATGAAATATATTAGAAAAATAAGTTTATGTTAATGTTATACTTAAGGGATCCAAACATACTTTAGGATCACTGTTTTGATTTTTTTAAATATTCAATTTGGCATTTCTCAGGGGCTTACTCCTCCAAATGTATGAGTTGAACACTCTAAAAAGGACACTGCTTCACTGCTCTGCAGGGCTTTACTATGAACACCCAAAAGTCAGGGCTTAAAATTACTGTTATTTTCAAGAAAGGAATCTTGGTTTTTACCTCTAGCTACTAGGTAAGCAGAACAGCTGGAGCTGCTTTTTAGCAATGAAAATTGGTGTGGACTTTAAAATGATTGACTATTTTACGAAGTATCAATATATTTAATATTTTCTTAATTTCCCTTAGAAATCACTTTTTGTTGACCTTGATTTTTACAAAAACTACAAAATTAATGTGTGATACGCACATTTTTTAAAATTCAGTTTGGATAAACTTTGAAAACTTGCTCATACACACTCAGATTATTCAGGTATTTTCAGTATGATTCTACTACTGACCTGTCCATCCTCTGCTCCAGCTGAGGATTTCTTGTTCTTTATAGGCTTCCAGCAGTCTCTTTAAACCTTTATGCCTTTTGGAAGCACAATGGGTAAAGCTGCTGTTTGCCAGTTCCAGCCAAATGTGTGTGATGTCTTTTGTATCCTTGAGAAACCCTCTATGGTTCTTTTGATAGGGAAGAGTTCCAGCATATGACATTTATCTGAAAATTTTATGAGGTCTAATATGGCTAAGCCTCCCTGGATCCTTCTGTGAAGGGGATTGCCGGGACTATGGAGAACAGCAACAGTTTCAGGCAAGAAAACTGCAGAAATGCACTTGGAGAATTGGAGAAAAGTCAGAAGTTAGGACATTTTCAGAATTTTTTTCTGTATCTTTCAACCAGTAATCTGTCATTAGCCATGTATAACCTTCAGATAAGGCTCTTAGTTTTTACAGTATTCCAGTGCACAATCTTTATTAGATTACAGCATATTTATATTCAGAAACGGAAACTAAACCTGATTCTGAATAATATTGTTCTTTCAATGTTTCTAATACTGTTTATTTTCCTAAATCTTCTTCTGTCTACAGTTTTCAGTATTCTTTTGTTCTGAAATAAAAATGTAGAATATCAAGACTGTTCCTCTGCAAAGGCAATAGATTTTTGAGTGACAGTTCGTAGAAAATGAGGTTTTTCAGAATGAAAAAACCTTTCAGTTTAGTTTGGTAAAAGAAAAAAATCGACTTTTGTTTTGACAAATGACAAATGCTTTTTTCTTGTTTTTTTTTTTTCTTTTTTTTTTCCTCCCCTTCTGTTGGCCTATGATCTTAGTTCTTCTAGTATATTCCTCCTCTGAACACACAAATGGTTATCTTCTGAAATTTCTGAGAAATGTGCTGGAGAGGTGAAGAGTTTATTAAGATGCCTCAGTTCATAGATTTCCCATGACATTCGGCTGAGCATAATTGTGCTTAATGTAAACTAGGCTTGAGTAAAATACAGATAAAAGTGTTGCAGCACTCCAAACAGACTGTTAGTCAGACTATAATGCATACATGAAAAGATGAAGGGAAAATAGCATCCAGCTTACTTATTTTAAAATTAAAATAGGCAGTTTTCTTTGTCTCTGTAGCTAACCTAATAATGATTTTCCTGATTCTCAGTCTCTGGAATTATTTTTTAATGTGTATGTGTAGCTATGTCTCAGGTATGTTCATTGTTCCCTCTGCAGTGGAATATACTAGGTTTTTTGGGGTATTTCTTTGTAGGTTCCTCAAAGAAATATAGATATTTATTCTCTTTGTTTGGACTATATTCATTTTCCATTTCCCTCCAGTTTATTCTTGCTGCTCCTGTAAGTAAAATAAAGGTAATCTCACTCTGATAGTGATGCTGGTACCAGTTTGTAGTACCACATGTTATTTCCTGCATGCAAACAATTAATCAATAGCTTCTTGCCTCAACAAAATATGACACTTCCTTCCTCTGTGTTAATGATTCTGTCTACAGAATCCATTAATCCATAGCAGAGCATAGCGTTTTGTCATTTGTATCAAGTACAGTTCTATTATGAACTATATATTATATATAATATATATTATATTATATATATTCTATTCTATACACTGAATGATTTTGATTTTATAAATCTGACAGAGGGTTTTGACTGGGAAAATGTAGAACTAATCACCCATCTTGGAGTGAAAACAGATTTTGTCATTAATCTCAGACTTCCTTTTTCATTTTTATCTTTTAAAAAATTATTACCCTAATAGAATGCCAGTAAACTTGACAGACATACACCTGAAACTTTAAAGTCTTTGTTTATCTGCAGATCAAGTGTGAGTCAAACCATTCAGAAACAGCTGCTGAGAAAACAACTGGGAAATGAAAAAGCATCTATGAAAAACCTGGTATCTTTGCTTGTGTCCAGTTGTGACAATGAATTTCGGTCACAGAAAGCAAAGCAAGAGAAAGAGTCTGAAATTCAGTTTCTCAAGGAACAGCTTGCTTTAGTAGAAAATAGGCTGTGAGTAAATGACCAGGAGAGCATTGCAGTTTTCCTCATTCTTTCCAAGTGTATTTAAACAGAGGTGGTTTTATATCTAGCTGCATTTTCAAATGTACCTTGACTACATTAATAGCAGCAGATACCAAAAATCTGCTTCGAATTTCTCAGTTAAACTCTAATAGACTTTTCGTCATAGTGTTATATTTTGCTCCAAAAAATGTTCTTAATCTCATTTGCATGGTATACCTGCCCTTTTAATTTTGAATAATTGCATGTGGCTACATGCTTGGAGAATTACAGTTGCTAACTAATGTGTACGGACTTCAGAGTGCTGTGCAGAATCAAGATTTTACTCACCTCAGAAACAGAGCAGCTCAGTTAGAGTCAGAACTGGGTATCACCAAAACACAGCTGGGGACTGAGTGCTTTGATAGGCAAGCATGTTTTTGTATTGTGCTTCCTGCAGCTAATTGGGGTGAAATGCAGTGTAGTACTAAGGCTAATTAGACAGATAACAACAAATTTTGGGTTTATACTGCTGCACGTCTCCTATATGTTCAGAGACAATTCATGTCACTAAATTTATTCTGTTCAGCTGTTACACATGCTAAGGTAGCTGTCTAGGTTGCCTGTATAGCCAACAGAATGAGACAGAGACATTAACTACCCTCTGGAATAATATGGTTTAGGATGAGATGGGTCACTTTCCCGAAGATGCTCATCTCTCTTCACTCATTTATACTGATGCCTGTCTTGATCTATAGTGAAAATCCAGGTGATTATTTATAAAGAAGTGTTTTATAGCCTGCTAGTTCTCTGCACCCTGTGGAATGATTTTCACCTGTACCAACCCCCATTTTCCCATTTTCAAGGTACTGCTTGAAGTGCTATGGATGGTTCCCAAATGGCAGTATGACAAATTTTTTTTTTTTTAATTTTGCAAGAAGAGAGTTTTACAACATATAGGAACTATTTCACGTGATTTGGCCACAGCACCAGAGAATGGTCCCTGTCCTGCTTCATGCATTAATTTATCTATATAGTCTTACATAGCTTTCTTATCTTTGAAACAATAATACTTCTCTATTTCATGGATGTATTGGGGATAAAATATTGCCGGTTTGGGTATTATTTTTGATATGTAAAAGAGAGAGCTAAAAAAAGCAGAGAAATGTGATTATAGCACAGGTCTGAGAATGAGATGTCTCGTTTAACTAGTAAATTGTTGATATTCTGTTCTCTTATAAGTAAGGATGAGGGATCTGGAGAGGACATCTCTGCTTTCATGGAAAAAAATTAAGCCAGCTTCTTAGAGCAAATCTATTTTTTTGGCACTGACAAGTGAAAAATCAGAAAATTGGCCATATAAGAAAAATACTTTCATTAAAGTCAGTATCATGTTAGTGCATAATGGAAGCAACAGCTGTGAGTAGTGACTGTTTTGGTTTTGTTGTTAATTTGAAAAAGTGGATATAAGCTATCCTTATTATAACAGTGGCTGGACTAGTCTTAGTGATTTACTGCCTTGGTGCAGAATGAAATAATGCCTGAAATTAGGAGGTGGAAGTGCCAATATTGTCAGATCTTGAATAGGCACAAAAACAGTGATACCAGGAGGCTCGATCCATCAATTTGGCTTTTTCTTCACCAGTCAGGAAAAGCACCTCCCCATCCCTCCCATCCCTGTGACTGCAGAAGCAGTTTGGACTCCTGTGGAAACAACAGATTTTAAGTATTGTCCTCCCCTGGCTGTGGTGACCAAGCACGGGGACTGTTGGGTTTGCTGGGCTGCTGTTGCTAGAGCAAGTCCTTCTGTTGTCTCTAGATCCAGCTCCCTGAGCCAAGGCTGAATGTGATCATTCCCCAGCAGGCTTTAGTGACCTGTTTCAGTGGTCCACTCCACAGGTATGTCTGTGGTGATGGCTGAGCCACACTGAAACCCTGGGGTGGTTGTAGCCATCCTACCTAGTAGCTTCCCAATCCAACACAGACTAGATTCTCCTTTTGTAAACAACTGACAGACTGAAACCAGGATCCCAGAGCAGTATGTAGCTTCAAAACTTTCCAATGGATTATCCAATCCCACATACTTCCTTCCCATACAGCCAGATGCAGGAGTTCTGGATTGTTCATATATCCAGACCTCATCTCTTGCACTCAAAATGACTGGACTTCCATTTTGCAACCTTCCCATTGGGGATTCCAGCATCTCTTAAATATCCATCAGCTTCAGGGAACTTCAGTAGACTCTAGTCCACTGGTCTTGCCAACTCAAACAGCACAGGAATACTGCACTGCAATAGGCAGCACTATTCTTACTTTTGAATAACCTTAAAATTAGGCTCTTCCTCCCTGGATATGTTTACAGTTTTTAGTTTTAAACCTGCAGTTACCATGGCTATCTTCTATCTTTCAGGTAAAATTGAGACAATGGATATGTAGAAATAAATCTCAGTAAGGGAATAATAGAAAGAGACCCTCTAATCTGTCTTTAAGAGAAGTATATGAAAACTATGATGGAAACTACATTTCCTTTTAAAATAAAATTTAGAAGCTGACAATCTTTGGGAAAAAAAGGGCTTATACTGACTACGAGATCATTCTAAAGATTTTTGAAAAAACGTTTAGTTCACAGTAAAATACTGTTTCTTTAGGGAACTTGAGGAGCTCCGTCATCAGTTAAGCTCTACATTAAAAATATCATGACCTCAGCATTCCCACCATTGATCTCCTAATGGGTCTCTGGACTAGTCCCTGGAAGGCTAGGTGGTTCCACAACATTGAAGTTCCAAACATTGGGTGGGAAATAAAAATAAATAAATGAACTCTGATACTTGTCGAAATATCAACTCAATTCCATGGAATTACATTAATGCAAGAAAAGTTACAAGAAGATTCAGGACCACAATCTTTTGATGATACTCCTTTTATTTTGTTTTATTGAATTGTATCAAACTATATAGTCAACAGCAACTACTTGTACCGGGATGCTGTAGTCAAAATTTATTAAAACATAATGGAAATAATGCTATGGAAAATCTCAACTTGTCACTGTTTGTACAAAGTGTAGCTGTAGATATTTTCATCTTTCTTACATAAAAGCTCTTAATTATCTGATCTTTCTTCTAATTTTCAGAGTAGTTTTTACTCTATATGTGCCCATGTTTTTACATAAAAGAAACACAAATGCATTCTGTAAGTCTGCAAGTATTCATAATAGTGAGGAGTAGCAAGCCCAGCTTTCTTTCTAACAATTAGTGGAATGGAGCTTCCACAATATGGAGATACTCCCAGCAGTTTCAGTCTCAGCTTGGTTTTCTATTTGGTAGCTGCATGATTGTAGCATCCCATGTTTTTGATAGATTGGTGGAAGCATACATTAAAAAATATTGCCAGTTCATGACTTGGTTTTGAGATGATTATGTACTTCCAAGTTTAATTTGTTCACTGAGATTATTACCTTTGGCACTTGACTAATCTTTACTATCAAAGGCTCCTCTAAGTATTAAAAATGGGTCCCAATAATATGAGACAGGTTTCCTCGGGTCAGCAAGCTGGTTCTGGTGCCCTTAGGAAGAAAACACATCTGTGCAATGATGCATTAAGTTATTTTTTAGCTACTGCCAATCCTTGATAGCAAGTACAGGGAGTATTCGTTCCTCTGATAGAACTGTGTCTACTCCTCCTTCATCTGAGTACAGTGTAGCTCTTAAATTTATTGAAAGAAACATTGTGTCATTTGGAACAGTTTCATTTACTTTTAATTACCATAACACTTTCTTCTATTTTTGATACTTACAAAGAAAAGAGGAAACAATCCATGTAGTCACTCCACTGATACTAACAATTATGGTGCTTTTTCTATTTGCATGACTCCCTTTTCACGGTGATAAAATTCCATTCTAAGGAGTAAACTTCTGGGTAAATAACAAATGAAGACTAATCTTCTACAAGCTAGATTAGGAATTCAATTCCTATCTTGCTTGATTTTTTTTTGTCTGGTTTAGTGGGGGATTTTTGCTTTCTGTTTTGTTGTTTTGGTTTGATTTTTTTTAACCTGGTTGGCCTTATGTGACTTTTGCATGTTCTTAGGCTACAATGAGTTTAAAGACTGAAAATGAAGTGAACCAGGTTTGTTTAAAGATTTCAGACTCTTTTAAGCTAAGTTTTTTTAAATTAAATCTATATAGCTTTTGCATGGCAATGAACTCAGTTTTTCTTCTGCTTGTTTAATTTCCATTTTTGAGAATTCAAGATATATACTTTATATATAATAACTAATATAATTAATAACGTTTTTCCTCATCCAAGTCCTTGGGTTTTTTTTGTTTTTGTTTTTTTTTAGCTACATGGGAAGAACTAAGGTTGTTTCAGACTTATAGAATCCTGGAATCCTAGAATGGTTTGGGTTGGAAGGGACATTAAAGACCATCTAGTTCTAAACTTCCACAAGACCAGGTTCCTCAATTCCATTGAACATTACTTAGTTACTTGTTTATGCTAAATGCTTTGGGATTTTTTTCATGAAAAACAAACAAACAAACAAAGAAAACAAAACAAAAAAACCCCACCAAAACAAAAACCATGCAATAATAACTGAAATGTTGGCAGTCTGAGCTACATTTTAAAAGCTTAAATTGAAAGAATTCATCAGGTTTGTGCAGTGTAGTGATAGACGGATGAATGAAATAGCCTGTTAGAAAGGCTCTCCTAAAATAGAGCAGTGATGTGAATCTGGAAACGTCTACTTTGTATAAGTGATTTACATTTGACTTGCATATTTGCTTTAATGTCCACAGTACTAAAGTTCTTGATAAATTTTATGTTAAGAATTTAGAGTGTCAATCAAAAATAAGATGGAATAGTAGAAATATATGGAATATCTATGAATGATGATTTCCCTCTCAGCTAACTCAAGAAAGATTTAGAAAATTAATTGAGACCAGAATGAAATAAAAGCAAATGTAAAGTACTGCCTGAGAGTAAAAGCAAGAATATTAATGCAAATATTTGGATGTAATAACCAGCAGATTCACAGAATTAAGACTTTTAAAATAGATATTTGGGGAATTGATTAAATATGATCTAGGTGTAAGTTCCTGTTATGTAATGTACTACTATTCCAGGAGGGTCCTCCTGGGGGGGAAAATCTCATTTTTCAGCCACTTTAAGACAAGTCATCAGAGATTGAGAAAGGTATTGCAGTAGCAACTGCTAGGAACTGGAGAGGCTTCTTCCACAGCTAATGTGTGACTCTGCAGTATACATGAAGTATAATGAAATAGTAGTGTTGGAATTACTATTAATGCCCTTCCTTCTCTCCAGGTGCTATTTCACCAGACAGTCTGTGATGGGAGATGAGGCAGACAATCACCTTTTCATTCTATGGAGGATGTGATATCAAATAAATTGGACAGTAACTTTTTCTTATTATTGCATCTTTCTCTGTGTATTTATTGTACCAGAGTCCTTGCTCCAATAAAGTGAGAAGTTTGTGTTGCAGGCCA